TAGGATCTGCCACTGTCTGAGAGCCACCCGCAACACAATATCCATTTGCAGAAAACGCTAATGACAATTTCTCATACAAGTTTTACTTTCAAATGAATACCTACCCTAACAATTTTCACATTCTGTAGGTATTTAAAATGATATCACATATATGTAAATTCCGTTATAGGATATCTATACTAGCGATTATAATGATAACTAGGACGAAAATACTAATATATATCGATTATAAGACATTTTGTTCCATTACATAATACTAGCATTATGTTATTTAACAACAACGCATATTTTCGACATTGATTATATCGATACTAGTTATACAATTCTTTTAATTAACCTAATCATTCGTTAATTTCGAAAGACCCTTAATTGATGATAAATGAGATCATTACACTTATATACTTCTATTTTATCTTCGTAAAAGCTGAATTTTAATTTCTAAACCTTTTAACCCTTCCGCTATAGTATTTACAAAAAATCGTAAAAATTTGATAAACAATTCGTTTATGTCTTGTTTTAATATTTTTACGAAAAATCTATACTTTTTCGGAATTGAATATTATTCCAATAAAAATTACAAGTAAAATGAAGTTATTCGCATATAAAGAATTATCTTTTATTCGAATAATTTTCGAATAGAAATTTATGCAATGAATCATACATATATCACGAATAATAAATACAGTAGACGCTTATTACATTGCCGTTGTCGGGACTGTAAGAGAAGAAAATTTATCAAGGTTCAAAATTTTCATTTGAGTAGAAGAGGTAGAAATGTATCATTTTCATAGACTACGATAATGAAAGGGTGGCACTAGTATGCTTTAAAATCGATGTGACTCCATAAATGTCCCATTATAACGAGAGTTTACTGTTCACAATTTTTATTCAAAAACTATTCATACTTCGAGAAAAATTTCGTTTTATTTGCAATTTTTATCCAAAGACTATTCGTTATTTGCACGTAACGTATTATTCGTTATATTAAATATATCTATCTCCAATAGGTACAAGGTACTGTCAGTAAAAACTACTACCTGAAATAATCCGTTATTTATTAACATTATAAAAAAAGTTTGAAATCTATTGTATTAAAAAATCAAAATGTATCCATCTAATTAGGCTCCTTAAATGCAATAAATGTTAGTTCAAAAAATTTTTAATAAAGTGTATAAATAATAAGTTATTGCAGATGATAGTTTTTACTGACTCACCTTATATATTATAGTTTCGCTGTTATACACGGCGAAAGGGTTAAAATACTTTAATCATTTATCCTATGGCAAATATTTAGGCTGATATACGGAACGTTATACATTGACAAGAGAATCTCTGTGTTCCTACGCGTGTAAATTGTCATTGTAATTTATTTCTGCAATAGATGTGTACTTACAGAGGTATACAAATTATTAGATTAAATAGCAGGAAAAAATAGTTTTGTATCGTTTTCGGTACATGTTCAACTTTCTGCTCGGGCCAAGCTATATTTTTGTTATTAAAGAATTGATGATTGAGCATGCGATATCGAGTGATCGGACCTTTAGCCCGATTTAAAGAAAATTTAATATGAAAGCGAAAATATTAAATCTATGAAACAATGTGTTTGCTTCCTATATTACGAAAATAACAATATTATTGTTTTATATAAATAACTAGTTTTCAGATAGAAAATGTATCTTTCTGTATAATACAGTAAGGATACAGCAACCTTGTCATAAGTCAGTAGCGCACTCATAATTACCCGATAGGAGGGTCAACATCATTTTTTCCATACCTTATTAATATCATTATAATATTAAGTCTAATTTGTTTCATTTTAGCCTATTCCAAAAAAATTTTGGATTTCTGTATAAAGTGGCTAATTAACTCCCCCTTCCCCAATTATGCTATTGTCCTGAACAAATAATAGCTATGATATGAATTCTATTGAAAATTTTGGAGAATACAGTGAAGGAAAGGATCAATCTTGATCAGAACCGGGTTAAGATTTCTGAGGTCCAAGGCTATCACATCTTCGAGTCCCCTTGGTTGATAAACTTGGTTCAAAAATTAAAATTTATTCTAAAGATAATTCAATGAAATTTAATCGTAAAGAAAAAGGGCAACAGTAAAAAACAATTTCGTTCAATATTTTACAACATAATAAATGGAAAATTTATAACATAACCCCTGAGAAGTAGCGCCTAGGGCTGTAGCCCTTTTTAAACCACCCCTTAATTCAGCGCTGACCATAAGGACGAAACAAAAGCCGATAAAATAGGTTCTTGATAAAAATTAAGCATCAGAAAAGTGTTTTGCCGTTAAAATTTTAGGGAATTTAAGACGTGGAGTTAATCACTGTAGTGTGTGAACGACTCAATTATTTAGGTAATTAATTAGTTATTTTAGTAAAGCTAAAAGACTTGGCCCATCTCAGATAAAAATCATATTATAATTACGCTAATGGTATCATTATAAAGGAATAAAAACAATTGTTGTTAAATATTAATTGACAGCATGCCAAAGAGAATAAAAATATTACTAAAGAACAAAGGTACACAAAATATTAATTATATTATACAATATAATTTATCAAATTTCCTGTTAGTGAAACTCTTTTAAACACTGCAGATATTGTTTAGTCTAGTAATTTGAACCTCTGTATGTTGGTTATCCGCACAGTAGAACTCCATTTAATTGAACTCTATTTATTGGAATTAAAGGGTATAGCCGGATAAGATGGCCAAAGGTGCCCCCAAACCAAATTGACTAAAAACTTCGCGATTACATTTTTACCCGTAACTACCCTCCCAGATGAGATACAGGGTTGAAACTTGGCACAGACTGGTTTTTTTTATCACCTATCGAATGGCTCATAGCAAGTCGAATTTGGTTTGGGGGCACTTTTGACCATCTTATCCGGCTATACCCTTTTATCTAATATTCGATTGATTAATTACTGAGCTCGTATTATTTAAACTATTGCCTAGTGACATTGCATGTACGAATATATGAACACTTGTATAAACTGTAAAATTGAATAGTCCCTAATGTTCAAATCTGTTTATTTAAACGTGAACTCCATTATTCGCAAGAACGATATTTAGAGTGAGATACTTAATTTGACCGGTTGTATCATATAAATCAAATTCAGAAGTTGGAACATTAATGGAAAGTAAATAAAATACCCCAACAATATAAAATTGATAGAGGTGTGCGAGAACCCGAAACTTTATCAGATACTCGATACTCCGTTCGGTTCTGCATCGTTCGACTTGAATCGGATCGAGTTGGATGAAATCATATCAGGTCGAATCGGGTTCTCGAAAGTATATGCAGATGTGCCAAAATTCAAAACTTGCGGGTACCCGATATTCGGATCGGGAATTACTTCGAACGACTCGGGATTCCCGAAATTTAGAGAAGTGTTTCAGGACAAACTTTGTTGAACATCCAACCAGGACAATTCCGGACTTGATCCCAGTATCGAATATTCGAAATTTTTGAGAACCTCATCCGACCGATCCGGCTCAATATTTTTGGATGGCCACTAGGGATGTGCAGCCCTACTAATGTGTCGGGTTCCCGACTAGTCGGATCAGTTCGGAAAACATCGGGCGGACTCGGGCGGGCGTCCGATACATGTGTACAGTCGGGTAGCCCGACTATTTCGGGTTCGGTCGGGTGCAGTCGGGCAGATTCGGACGAACTCCCAAATTATCTCATTATTAATTATTATTAGTCATTAATACTTATTGCAAGTATTAACAAGTACATGAGAGCTGGATCGCGGGCCGCGGCCCGCGGGAGCTCGTCCTAGTCAGCCCGACTGTACCCGATCGAAACCGAAATAGTCGGGCTACCCGACTGCACGCATGTATCGGACGCCCGCCCGAGCCCACCTGATTTTTTCCGAGCCCGCCCGAGCCCGTAATATCGGGTACCCGCACACCTCTAAAAATGAACAAACAATAAATAATTTTCTTGTAAAACATTAGACACAAGTTACTGATGTGGAATGTATTTGGTTTTTCCTTATTGAAACTTGCATGGGTAACGTATCAGATACATCACAAGAATGATCATTTAAAAAATAGTTAATCTTGAAATTTCCGAAATGTTGCAATTTATAAAGAAATTATAACCGCTATGTTATGGTCCCTTCAATATCATATAATTGTTAAAATAAAATTCGCTCGTGTCTATAAATAATATAGAGATAAAGGTGATCGAGTTAGGTGACTCACCCTATAAATTACATTTTTGTGTATATTCATTGAAATTTGCGAACAATCGGAGATAGTTTGATAAAATTCTTGGAAAATTCAGTATAACGTTTTTGTTAATTGCACGACTACGAGTTTCTTATTAAAGTATATTACTATAAAATTTTATAATTGTTTCACTGATGTAATTGATAAATTAACCCTGTGTTCCACAATTTCTTTTCATTTACTAAAATCTTCCTTTAGTTTATCTTTTTCCTTTGTTTCGTTGAAGTGTTGATGTTTTACATACGTAAAGTGTAAAGTCTTCTGAATAATATATTAGTAACTTTACAAAATTTTATCTATGAATTTTTTACTTGTTCTTGCTAATTTTTAATACATTGTATTATTAGTATGTTTTTCATTATAGTCAAAAATTTGAAAATTTGTTTAACAATATAACAATTTCATTGTAATGTAGCTTGAAAATTAAAAAATTAATTTATAGATTTTGCTTTTGAAAGAAAAAATTAAATTATTTGAAAACCAGGATGAAAAGATATTAAAACATATATCATTAAAATTGTAGTGAATTACCATTATAATTGACTTTTTTATAAGAAAAAAGAATGATAAAAAATAAATATTTTACTTCTCCTCTGTGAAAATAATTTTTTAAAAAATAATATAATATTGTAAAGACACTTACTTTTGACTACAGTTTATAGAATTCAATATTACATCCTACTCATAATTACTATTGTTAAAAGAGAAATAACAATATATTAAATAAATTAGCAACATATAGTGACCATTCAATTATTATTACATTTTGTTGTATTTCTTTTGATTTCTTCAACACTATTTTTCATTTTGTGTGCGACTATCTTTTATTTATAATTAATCATATTTTTATAATGACTTCTTACAATAATTACCTTTCTTGATTGGTAACATGAGCAACGATTTATCGAAATTCATTCGTGTTTCATTTCTGTGGTTATTAATAAGATAAGCAGTGGTTTATGAAGTTACTGAATTATGAAGGTTGATACAACCTTTATAATTACATTACAAAAAATCTGTACAGAAAATTATATATTCTATGATGTTTAATTTTAACAAAAGAAATTGTTAAAGATCATTTACACTACCAATCAACAGTTTGAGACCACTTTTTTCTAATATTTTGATTCATATTTTTATTAAAAATTAATTGCAAGGGGTTAGCAATTATATATTACTTTAGATTGAAAATTCTATTTCTTTTTTCACAGTGAACACTAGCCATATTAAATATAATGCAAACATTATTTTCTTAACTCACAAATTTGCTCATTAATAATTGTCAACTATCGAGCTTTTCTTATAAATTAAATTAACTATTACATTTTTCTCTATAAATAAATGAGAAAATTCAAGTGTAAACTAAAAATATTTTTGGTGCGGGCAGAAACATTGTGGTAACTAGGTAAGTGTCAAGGTGGGCTTGCCTTCCTTAACAAAACAAGTGCACTGCTTCCTTACCATTCTCAAAATTTTTAAATTCTAAACTTCTAGAATTACAAAACTTAAGAATTTTTTTAATTTAAAAATTCTAAATTTCTAAGCAACCTGTCCCACCTCAGAAAAAAGATCCTAGTGACACCACTGTAACACTGAATTAAGTGATCTCAAATGTTTAATCAGTAACGTCTCATTTGCCAATTTAAATAAAAATCCTAGTTTAAAATGAATGCTCGACAATTTACAGAAGCAGCATAACAATTTTTAACACAATTAACAAAAATGGAATAAATCAAGGCATTCTTTAACTGTGTTCAAAGTCATTAGAAAGTGGTGCTAAACTTGTCGTGTCTATTTTCCACAAGAATTTAGTATTATTTTCCATTCACCAAAAATCGAACAATTTGCAAACGAAATGAAATAACGAATTAAATAGATACAATTAATTAATCATGTTTCCAAACTGGTTTCTATGTACAATTATAGAGAGCGAACTGCTATGAATCAAAACATTTGTACAATGACAACAACAACAATAACAATAACAATAATAATACCTACAGGTCGTTCGGAACAGAAAAGAGAAAGAAGAAGAACACTGTAATCGCTTTGGATCCTGACGAACGTAACGTTGTTAATAAACGACTAAAGAATAATTAATACACGCGCTTATACGTACTTCTTTTTACAACATTAAATGATAAAAAATACATATAATTCTCGATTAAAGACTTTGCTTACGTCGTACAATGCCTTGATACTTTATTCAAGAAATAATTCCTTCACGACAGCCTTTCAGGAATTCATTCTACCAACTACGAACGCATGATATCAACATTAAATATCTAACTATGCTTAATTACCTTATTATTCATAAATATATGTGTATACACAATGTATATATATATTATATATATGTATATTATAATATGGACAAAGGAGACGAAATCTACGGTAAAAAGACTTTTACGAAATACGAACTTGAATATCGTCGACGGATGGTCCGGATATCACAAATTAATTTCTATCTCTCGATTCATAGTTTCGTTTTGAATGAAACAATCTTTCAGTTTGTCCTTTTCTTTTGGTCAGATTAATCGTTTAGCAATTTCACAAATTTAATTAAAGATATTAACACTTAAAAAAATTTCTTTTGTAATCTAAAATTATATTTAAATTCATTTAGCTCATATTTTAATTTAGAAAATAAGTTGTTATATAATTGTATGTATAATGAATTCATCTTGTAAATTTTAAACATAATAATTTAAATATGTTTGTGTTAAATTCTAAGTAAAATACCACATTTATGAAATGTTTAGAATTACAATAAACTCTTGCTATATAGCCTGTAGGGGTGGAAAATTTGTGGAATTGGGAATATAGACAGGTCTGTTCATGTGTGAATTATTTCTATGTCTACAATAGTGGAAAAGCATCACTAACTTGTGTGAATGAAAATTCGCCCAGCCAGCAATATAAAGAGTGGTAATATAGCGAGAGTTTACTGTATATCGAAAACTGTAAGATTCAGATGAAAAATTAAAAGAAATCCAAATATTAATTGATAGTAACACTGATAACAACAAAAAAAGGGACAAAACAGACGGTAACGCAGGTTTCGTATTTCTTGGTGAAATATTCAAATATCGAGAGGGCTAAGCAAAGAATCAAAGCGAAATTTGTTCGTCGCTATGGTCCACGTATCACAAATCAACTTCCATCGCTCAATTATCATTATTTCTTTATCCAAATATTGTTGGCATCTTGTATCTCCCCTCATCTCGCATTTCTTCGTCATCTTCGCTGGTATGAATACCCTTTATGGATACAGTAGTTTTTTGTTAGGACTTAGATGTCCTTTTAATCTGCAGTCGTTCATGTTGATTCTAATATACCGCCGGCAAGTTTGGTCGCGTACAAATGTAATGCCTGAAAAATGAAATTTTTTTTATTATTTCATAAAATTTTATTTCACCTGATTTATTATATTATAGTGGCTAAACATCCGAAAACCCCCATGCTCAAATTTTAGAAATAGATTCTTTTTTGATAAAAATGATACTTGCGAGAAGGATTTTTGGCGACTCGAAAGAAAATTTGTTATCGCATGAATATCACTTTTTATTTTACCGGCGTAGTATCTGCATCTACTGTTATCTACGCTTTCTATAAAGCCATAGAAAACCAATAGACAATTTGGCATGCGTGACCAGTCACCTTTCGGCGGCCGGAATATTCATCTGGCCTAACCTAATCTGATTCACTGAAGTTAAAGCTTGGCTTAAGTTTGTATAAAAGTTTTATTGATATGCAGAATATACATAATTAATATCATCAAGTAATTGATGATACATTGTAATACTAGTATTCTTGATACATCGATACTTTTTAAAAAACAATTGAAAATAGCAGATTTCACAGCATCAGAATCGCTTTCAAATTTGCCCCATTATTCCTGCCGTTATAATTGCATCGGTAAAGTAGGGAAGGACACCCAAATGATAAAAAATTTTTTCTTGATTCGGCAAAAATCCTTCTTGAAATTATCATTTTTATTAAAAAGAAACCTATCCCTAAAATTTCAACCAATTTGCAGCATGGAGGTTTTCGGAAGTATAGCCATATTTGGGAATATCAATAGTCTGATGCAGTTTTATGACATAAAAGTATAGCACAGTAGCACTTGTGGCACATCAAATTGAAGAATAAAATTGACCATATAAACTGTCCATAAATTGTCTTTAATATAAGCTACATATTTATCAGAAAATCGTGTTAGTGATTACTGAATGTAATACATAATACTTATCTAACAATTAACAATTCTACATTAAAAACAATAATGCGATTCTTCTTAATAAACCTTAAGCTTTAAATTGATATAATATAAATGCTGCTTTCTGTTAGTTTTACGTTACTAAATCATGTTATACTTTATAGATTTTAAAATTTATCATTGCTTGTTATAATTTATCACCAGTAATTGTATATTCAAAACATTAACGGATTGTTTATGTAGTCATTTTCTTCATACATTAAACTTCAAATTAATGTGTTATAAATACTATTTTGCAATATATTGATGTCATAAAATTATATCGGGTTTCGTATGTTTCAAAGTCAGTCATTGATTGCTGTGACTGTCAATCAGCCATGGATAAAACGTTTATACGTATAGTCATATTTAGCGAACTTTAAGCTTGAAATTAATGGAAAGTAAGTAATGGTAATTTTGTATCATCAAATCGTATTATTATAATATGCAACAACCTAAGTATTTTATGATTCTTTCGAAACATTTATCACTTAAAATCTAAAATCAGTACAAATGTTCTTTTCTTTAAATTTGTCATTGTCTGACTGATTATGGGAAAAGAAATGATTCTGATTCTACTTGATAAAGATTTTACCTTGATGTTATCTTCAGAGTTTGCTATGAATTTTGCAAACAACCAAATGTTTTACTTTTTTACATGCAACAGATGATTCTAAAAGTGTCTATCACAGAAGTGTCTATAATTATTCAAAACAATGAAAGAATTTGTTGTAATGCTTTACTCCCTATATGTACATACATACACGTTTAAATATGGTTTGTTTTCCCGTTTCCGTTTTACTACATATATATCTGTGTTCTTCTTCTTGTATTTAAGTATGGTGGTTTCACATTCGTGTTCGTTACGAGTTAATTTCTTTTGTTAAAATTAAATACAAGATGTTCATTTACTATTATTATATGTATATATTATATTTAGATTTCTGCAATTAAAGATAGTGTTAATAAATAATAAATATCGGTATGAGTAAGTTCAATTATATGTGTTATGCTTCTCCACGTGGCAAATAATAGGTTATGGGCCTAGTTCGATGAGTTATAAAGACATTGGTATAAAGTCAGAAAATTAATAAAGAACGATACAATGGAGAACAAAAATAATTTTAATGTCGAGCTTCTGAATCCAAGTAATTATCATGTGTGGAAATTTAGGATGACCACGTTGTTAAATGAGAAGGATGTGGTTGAACGCATCAAGGTGGAATTTGATGAGACGACATATAATGATGCGCAAATGAAGGAAAAAGCTCGTAAAGAGGATAATTTGTGTAAGTCCCTTATAGTACAGTCAATTGATGATTCACAGATAGAATATGTGAGAGACAGGGCAACAGCATATAGTATGTGGAAGGCATTGGAAGACAGATATGAAAAAGAGCGTATTCCAGGACAATTAATTTTGCGTAAAAGACTAATGACCATGCGATTAAATGAAAGAGACAACTTAGAGACATTCCTGGCAGAATTTGATGAAGTGATTCGACAGTTAAGGGCCATTGGAGCAGAAATAGGTGAGCAAGATATTGTCTGCAATCTATTGTTGGCGATGCCCAAAATTTTTGAAACTGTTATAACAGTATTAGAGAATATGCCATATGATGAGTTGACAGTAGAGATAGTAAAAGCTAGGCTAAGGGCAGAAGTCAAGAGAAGAAGAGCTACTGAACTTAAAAATGACCATAAAAAAGATGATGTGAAACCAGCAGCATTTCTAAACAAGCAAATCATATGTCACTCGTGTGGAGAAGCAGGACATTTAAAGCGGAATTGCCCAGAATGGAGTCAAAGTACGTCAAATAATCATACAGGTAAAAGAGACCAATACCAATATCGAGAAAATAGAGGAAGAGGAAATTATAGAAGAGGCAGAGGCTATAAATTATAAGCAAAGCAATTACACGGATAAAGGAGATGATGAAGATCAACACGGTGCTGTCTGTTTTATGTCAAACTTGAGGAATTGTTCAAGTTATGTGAAAGATAGTGGTAATCTGACCTTTTGTATAGACTCAGGTTGCACGAACCACCTTGTGAATGATAAGACTTGTTTCTATGAACTTTTAATGTTGGAAAAACCTATTAGAATAGCAGTGGCAAAAACTAACCATTACATGGAAGCAATAGGTGCTGGCAATATCAGAGTGACGAGTAATGTGCATAACAGGGATGTTAAATGCAATATAAGAAACGTGTTATATATTCCAAATTTGAGAAGAAATTTGCTTTCAGTAAAAAGGTTGGAGATGGCAAATGTCAAAGTTGTTTTTAGTAATGGTAAAGTGAGTCTGTATGATGAAGGCATACAGGTTGGAATTGGGCATAGAGATAATCTGTATGAAATATCTTTCAAAATTGAAAAAAATGAGAGTCTCACTCAGTGTGGAAACAGAGAATCACGAGACAAGATTATGGCATAATAGGTATAGACACATTTGTAATGCAAATCTCAGGTAACTAATAAACAAACAAATGGTACATGGATTAGTAAACTTAAAGGTTAATAAAGTGGAATTATGTGACTCCTGCATTAAAGGGAAAATGACCAGATTTAAAATTGGAACGAGAACTAAGGCAAAAAGACTACTTGAGGTAGTTCACACCGACGTAGTTGGACCTATTACGCCGTTATCCCATTGTGGAGAGAAGTATTTTGTTACTTTTGTGGATGACTTCTCAAATTTCATTCAAGTATTTATGATCAAAAACAAGAGTGATGTTTTTGATTGTTTCAAGCAATTTGTGCTAATGGTGCAAACCAGATTTAATCTAAAGATAGCTACATTAAGGTGTGACAATGGAAGGGAGTATAGTTCCCAAGAATTTGAAGAATTTTGCAGAATGAATGGTACTTGTATAGATTATACTATTCCATATACGCCTGAACAAAATGGAAAGGCAGAACGTTTTAATAGAAGCCTAATGGATAAAGCTAGAGCTATGATATAAGAAGCCAATATGCCAAAGAATTTTTGGAATGAAGCAGTGAGAGTGGCTGCATATTTACTTAATAGGAGTCCAAGTGCAGGAAATATAGCTGATGAGATTCCAGCGAGGATCTGGTTTAATAAAAAACCAGATGTAAGAAATATTAGTTTTCGGATCAATGGCATATGCACACGTTCCCAGAGAATTGAAGAATAAGTTCGATTCAAAAACAGAGGAATGTATAATGATAGGTTATTGTTTAGCAGGATTGTGGAGTATTAAAAGACAGAAGGTTATAGTCGCAAGAGACGTAGTGTTTAAAGAAGATGAATTTTATAAAAAACAGACAGGTCATGCGAACTTGTCATACTAGAGTCGATAAACTGGACAATAGAGAGGCAGAAGATGATGAAAAGGAAGAGAATGAAATCGTAGAAGAATCATCAAAGGAAGGAGAAAAGGAAACAAAAAGAGTAACGAGGCCACCAAAACAATATGATTACGAGATGTATTATATATGGCATTTGACGTAGTATTATTTGTACAACAAGTTCCAAGCCTGATTGAAGAATTAAGCCATAGGGATGATGAAATGTATTGGAGAGAGGCAATGAAGAGAGAGATTGAATCGATAGAAAAGAATAATACTTGGAAAGAGGTAAATATGCAGGAAGGCACAGAGATCCTGACTACACGATGGGTCTTCGCTCTAAAACCATTGGAGGAAAATCCGGAAGATAAGTATAAGGCACAAATAGTGGTAAGGGGATTTGCCCAAAAGGATTCTTTTGATTATAATGATATATATCCACCTGTTGCGAGGATGAGTACAATTCGGACATTATTAACCGCTGATAATCAGTTCAAATATCCATTTTAAGCAGCTTGATGTTAAAACAGCGTTTTTAAATAGCGAACTAACAGATGATGTATATATACATTATAGTGTTAAGTGTAAGAAAGGAAAGGTACTAAAACTAAATAAGGCATTGTATGGTCTCAGACAGGCGTCCAAGTGTTGGAATATTAAAATGAATACATTTCTATTGAATCAGGGTTTCCGTAGATAACAATTATTGTCTGTACTCGAAAAGAATTGTTATATTTTGATGACATTATTTTAGCAGGGCCAAGCATAGAATGTATTGAAGATTGTAAAGGAAGAGTTATTGATGGAATTTGATATGAAAGATAAAGGAGACTATTGAGGTATTTAAAGGGTACAAAGGAAGTAGGATTATGGTATGTGAGAAGTGCAGACGCATTACCATTGGTATATTATGTTGATGCTGATTGGGCACATGATATGCGAGATCGGAAATCTATTTCGCGATATTTAATGCAGATATATGGTAATACAGTATTGTGGGTGATGAGGAAACAAAATTATATGGCACTGTCTAGTACCGAAGCCGAACTTGTAGCACTGACAAGTAAACCTACCCAAGTGTTACACTCCGATTTTCATGAGCTTTGAATATTTTGTAGTCTAGGTCAAAATAAGAAACACGTATTTTTTTATACGTGCCCATACAACCATTAAAGGGGTGAAACACCCTCTTGAAAAAGATCAGTTTTTATATTTCTGAGCTAATACCGCCAAAATGGTAAAAAATATAAAAAAAAGTTTCAAACAAAAGATTTATTATGTTTAATGTACTTTATAACAGTGTACTCCGAGTTTTTGAAAATATCATTTTTTTCAAAATTCTCGCCCCCTCCTTCAATTTAATAAATTTTTTTAATTTATCTTATAGCAAAACAGATAGTAGGTTATTTAATGACAAATTCAAACATATATGATAGAGTTATATTCCAAAAACAAATTTTTCAGAAATAAGCTAAATATACCTCTATATCACTAACCGCGCGTTCCATTCGTATCCGTATCTCATTGTCAATACCATTTGCTACGTTTATTTTTTAAATGTCTTTTTCTTACATAGACCACGGCCAGACCGAGCGCATGAATGGAACGCACGCATAGTGATATAGAGGTATATTTAGCTTATTTCTGAAAAATTTGTTTTCAGAATACAACTCTATCATATATGTTTGAATTTGTCATTAAATATATCTACTATCTGTTTTGCTATAAGACAAATGAAAAAAATTTTTTTAATTGAGGGAGGGTTGAGAATTTTGAAAAAAATGATATTTTCAAAAAATCGGAGCACACTGTTATAAAGTACATTAAACATAATAAATCTTTTGTTTGAAACTTTTTTTTATATTTTTTACCATTTCGGCGGTATTAGCTCAGAAATATAAAAACTGATTTTTTTCAAGAGGGTGTTTCACCCCTTTAATGGTTGTATGGGCACGTATAAAAAAATACGTGTTTCTTATTTTGACCTAGACTACAAAATATTCAAAGCTCATCAAAATCGGAGTGTAACACTCGGGTAGGTTTATTTGTGAGTGCAGTAGTGCAGATGGACTATGGTATAAAAATTTGCTTCAAGACTTAAAAATAGAGATAAAGAATTTCAAAATACTTGAGGTTAATCAATCTTGCATAGCATTAATAAGGAACTCTGAGGACAATAAACGAGTAAAACGTATTGATTTGAAATATAAGTTTGTATGCGAGAGTTTAAAGAAAAGGGAAATCGTGATTGAGTACATCAATACGAGATTCCAGTTAGCAGATACGTTAACTAAAGGGTTGAACTGAGCAAAATTTTATTCAAATTTCAAAAGTATGGGTTTAACAGAAAGGGAGAGTAGTAATTAAGGAAGCGTTGTGATCATAATTATAAGTTTTGTTTTGTATTAGTGCATAAGATTTCAGTTCAGATGTTAAAAGAAAGGTAATGGGGCAAAGCATTAAGAGTGTAGTGTAAGTGTGTAGTAATGCTTTACTTCCTATATACGACAAGATGTTCATTTACTATCAGTATATGTATATATTATATTTAGATTTATACAATTAAAGATAGTGTTAATAAATAATAAATATCAGTATGAGTAAGTTCAATTATATGTGTTACGCTTCTCCACGTGGCAAATAATAAAATTTATTAAAATATTTTATTGAATCACATCCAAAGTGAGGTGTCTCAATTCTATGAGTGCATACATATATATATATATATATTTGTATATATGTACAATATATTTTTTTTAATTCATCATTAAGAAAAGAAAAGTATTAATCGTAAATAACAAATAAAATATCAACTCACCTTGTAAACAAAAGCATATTGTTCTTTCGTCTGGACAGCTCCAGCGCGGTCTCGTCTGATAGTGTAAACGACCCTTGGCACATCCACAGTCCTCGTAATCTCATATTGTCTAATTCCTAGGTCAAGAGCTATTAACGTTCCGGTGCGTCCAGTACCGGGACTACAGTGGACCACAATGGGTCCAGGACCACCCCTTTGGAGTGCTCTTGCTTCAAGAAGCACAGCTATTAACCCTGCTCCATCTGATTGCGCCCCATTGACAGGCCACAAATACCAAATATGGTACACTTCTCGGAACGTGTTGTTCTCCAAATTCTGTCAATATAAAATGTTTATATCATTTGCAATTCTTTTAAGAAGATTTCCGTCGTATTACATTATGTATACATATGTATGTACACTGAGTTTCATCGAACCTGTCGCAGCGTGTGACACTAACACATATTCACGCCGGGAGTCAATTGGCTGCAGTCCCTCCTTCGTGTGCCCCTCACCTATCGGCTCTTCGGCGTGAATATGTATGTGTCAGAGTCACACGCCGCGACAGGTTCGGTGAAACTCAGTGTATGTACATACATACATACATACTAGAGATGGAGTGAACTGCTACTTATCAATCACTTGTGATTCGTTCATGTTCGTTCTCAATCACGGTGATTTTTCACAGCGATTCGTGATTCATCGTGATCGCTTCTGATTGATGGACAGCACAACTGTTCTTTACACGCGTTACAGTCTTTATATTATAGGCAGCTATTTTATGTAAGCTGTATTGAATTCAATCAAAATCAAGAACTACGATCCTAATGAGCAATTACTCAAAATAAAAAAAAGTCACGATCACGGTCGTAAATGAAGTTAAAGCATGACTATGATCGTGATTTTTCGATCACTGTGATAAATCACTGTGACTGATTTTGTACGTCATCCCTAGTACTACATACGTTTGGTGCTAGTATATAGTAAACTCTCGCTATATTATCAGTTATAGGATTATAAGAGCGGGAAATTCATGGAATTGGCAGTATAAAAAGTGTGTAAATTCATGTATAAATATGTTTATTCCATCTGTATTGCATAATTTCCATGTATAAATCATTTTCATATGCGAAACGTCACTATCGTGTGTGAACAGATGTATACACATACATGGGAATGGAAATTCGCCAAATCAAGTATTATAAGGAGTGGCAATATAGCGAGAGTTTACTGTATGTACCTATTTACATCATGAAAATTACATTACACAACAATTATATCATAAAAGTTATAAAATAAAATTGCACATACAAGTTATATCATTTCAAGTATTTACATTACAAATTTTAGAAATCCGTCTGAATTTACATGAAGCTAATGGGACTTGAACACCGGCCAAAAAAGTTACGAGTTTAATATCAATGTTACGACATCAATGAATTATTCAGAAAAGTATTCACTTGTGTATTACAAATATGTCAATTACTATGTTTTTATTAAACATTTCATAAACTATTAAAAGTGTACGTCCTACGCCCTATTTTTTAATTCCTACAAACTGTTATGGAAATTGACTTCACATTCAGATTCTTACAATTAGTTACATCAATCATTTTAGAGTTTTTAAATAGTAAAAAATTTGTAAAAAAAGAAAGTAGTCGAAATATTAAACGAATATTTTTGGTCCAAATTTAATGATTTTTTTAAAAAGAATAAATAAATTGTTCAACAACAAATGGAATGTTGTGATACAAAACAATAGGTAATATGTCGTACAAGGGTCGAAGGTAAATAAACTATGTATAATAATAACATGCTGATGTTTCGTTGAAGAAATTGATATCATTTCTCTATCAACCTAATTTTGTCATGGGACTTTTTAATATTTCTATAGACAAATTATATAAAAGGTATAATAAATTACCATCATAAAATAAATCATTGTGATATGTATACCTTTTAAATTATGTTAGTCATATATGTTATTTAACTTCTTACAGTACACTCTCATTATATTGGCATGTGAGTGATTTGACTTTCATATGAATTCTCAAACATACTACATATCTGCTACTTTTCTACAGTCATATTCTATGAAAATGTCTCTATGTCTTCTATGAAATGTCTTTTATAAAAATTTCGATCTCTGCTCTCTCCTTCAAATAAATGCTTGGAAGCTTGACAAATTCCCGCTCCTACAGCTTCGTTGGCGGCGATATAACGAGAGTCCACTTTATTCGAATCATTTTTTGAGCAAAAGAGAGTTATTTTCAATACTATTTGTCTAAATCTATACAAAATTGATTGCTTACTTTTAAATGAAGCGTAGAAATGGCATATTTCTCTTTGGTTTCCCTCTTCTTCAGAGTAACTTGGAAGTCACCGTACAACCGGTGGCAGTCGGTTATTTCCGAGGGCGGAATGTATTCAGTACACTTTTCTACCCCGTTTTCAACGAGATCGGTTAACATTATAATCACTTTGGACTGTTGTTCCCAGATCATTCTCCAGAAGTCAGTGACGGTCGAGTCCATTGGTGCTTGACAAGCGATGTAATATCTCGTGGCATTCTTTGGTCCCTGAAACATAATAAACTATTATTATTAAAATTTAACACTTTGTACTCGAGAAGTGACGCACACTCGTTAGTTAATTTAATTCTTTAATGCTCAAATATTTTGAAATGTTCCACCCGTTACTGCATAAATTAATTTTTATTAATATATTCAAATTGTATGGATGTTATTGTGTATTTTTGCATTTGTAATGGTTGTTATTGATGATGAACTTTTTACTTCGCATCGACTGCGAGATCATTAGCGACGAAAGTGTTATATGTATATTAAATTTTATAATATCTAATAATTAAAAATCATATTATTTTTATTTTTTAATAACTTTTAATATTTATATTGTCAAAATGAAGATTTTCAGAATTCCTGCTTCCTTTCTATTGTCATTTTCCCTATAATAACCTGATTTGGTCGCGAATGTACTGTATTTCAACAGATGCGATTAAACTTTTGAGCGGTAATATGTATATATCAAAGCAGATACGAATCTCATCAGGTTTATGCAAAATATATAATTAACAAGTTTAACAGGATTGTTATTCCTTATTTATGCATAAGTAAAAGTTCACTGTATGATCTCTAGAATACTTTCAAGTAAACAATTCTATTAAGTTCTTATGAATAAATTTTAATATATCTTAAACTTTCTTCTTTCCCACGGTTTTCTCTAATAATGATTATCGACCAAAATGATAACAATGTGATTTTGAGTTTTTGCAATCACCACATATGTGACAATAAATGTTGCGAGTTATTATCACCTGAATTAAAATCGCGACATGAAATCCACTATCATAATAATAATAACAACGCAATTTCTGATTCTTACAATGATAAAAGTGGTGATAATAAAAGTTTCGATTTGCTATTCCGTGAAAACATGCCTTTATAATATTTCAACTTGATGCGAATTGCAGTGCAGCATGCATGTGCATACATATGCATAATGTAGAATGTAGCGAGGCTAACGTCCTCCTACTGGCAATTAGCAGCGACTGTTCCTTGCTAATCGATAATATCGATCGATATTGCTCTGCCACCATAATGTAATTACCGCCCTCTTTAACTGATTCCAATTGAAATCGACTCTCCTTAGAATATGCAATACCTCCTTTCGAGTTTAGTCACAAATATGTTACATTAATTAATCTCAATTTGATTGAAGAGGCATCAAATCTTACTGTACAATAATTTTTTATAAGATGATGAGAAATGGTTTAAGAAATCCGTTTATTTTTAAGAACACTAAATTGTGAAAATGTTTAATTGCATAAATATCTGCAGTTTAATTATTATGTTCTACTTGCAGATTTTTACTTAGGTTTTCAAACAATGTTCTTTATTGTGTTTAAAATTATGTAATACATACAGTGCCAGATTAAAAGAGGTCTACCAATCAAATTCAAATCATTTCGTTTAAAGAGGTAAAGTATTGCCTTATTATTACCAATACTGTTCATTTTAGATATCAAAAATAAACAATTTCTAATTCTTTTCAAATTTTGATATTAAAAGAGTATTGTTACGTTGTGCGCGCGCGACGGCGCAACGTAAAAAGGAAAGATAATAAGTGGAAATATAGGTAGTTAAATTTCAATTAATTGGTTGGAATTCAACCCCTAATTCCTGCTTCCCTATTTTAGCGCGATGGTTGGTATCGCTGCCACCAGTCTCGAGCGTGTTAACGCTCTCGACAAATTAAAAGACGAAAGACAAAATTGATAAGATGTTAAAAGATTATAATTATTAGCCTTTCGTTGGGTTCGTTCAACGCTTAGCCCCATACGGGACCCTCCTTGAATCTGGGTATGTTGGTAGGCGTGTTTTAACTGAAACGTGTGAGGTGTGTTCGAAATAAATGGAAACTGTTTAACTAAATGAAACTGGTTTAATCGTGAATGAAAATCAGATAATAGCCAAAAGTGTGAGTTCAATAATTTAGAAATTTCGTTAAATTGAAAATTACCAGTTCTGCAAAAAGGTGAACAAGTGTAAAGATGCTTAAGATTAGTTATCAAGGTATATATATATGAATATAAAACGCTCTGATATCACATTTGAAACATTAGACTAGAGTACCGGTCGCGTGACTCGATTATTACAATTTCACTTCCTATATTTAGCTGTAAAACCGGCGGTTCCCGCCCGCGGTACACCTTAGCCTGAGAAATTCTCGTAACTGCCGAAGGAGCTGGACTAAGGTGCCCCTTAGTTGATGGAAAGAAACTGGATTTCGAAATCGTAATAAACGGAAAATAATATTTAATATTGAATGATATTGATACCTCGTACGGTGGAACGATCTGACCTGAGGAATTCTCGTAACCCTGAAGGGCTGGACCAGATCGCCCGTTTTGCCAATCAATGAACGTCGTGATCGAAAAATGTAATTGAAACGACTTACCGTTACGCTGTATAATACGAAACAAAATTATAATATATTCGTTGCTAAATTTCTCTGTATTCGCCTGATGATCTGGAACACCAAAGAAACGGTAAGACGTTGATCACTGCACTTGTCGCGGCGGAAATGAATTAAAACGGACGAGTACGTCGACGAGAGACAAACGAATAACGATTTACGATTAATTACAATTTATCACGAAAACGATCAATGTATGATTTACGCGGAGTGAAGTTAATACGAAATTACTACGGGAGCAAACGATTTAAAATCAGAAAGAAAAGATAGAAATTTAGGGAGAGAGAAGATTTTACGTGCGCGTCTATGAGTCCTTATCCAGAATTCCGATTATTTTAACTCGCACGGCACTCTGCCTCGCTACGCGGAGGACTTTACCGCAGAGAAAATATCGCGAACTTCCAAATAACTCTGTCTCTCGGACACACGGGCTCCCGATCACGTACTTACGATTGATCGATCAAGAGTGACAAAGGGTCTAGCCGTATAAGCATAGTGAATCGGCCCCAGTAACAATTTCGGTTGATATTGATATCACATATTGCTTTTTGCCTAAACAACAATTGTGTGCAATTTCAACCCCCTACCCCCTCTGATAAGGGAGATATGAGGGTAAAACCCAAAACCTTTACCATTTTTTTTCTCGGAAACTATTTAAGATATTTGATCACGTTAAAGTGCAAATAGTAGGTATTCATTAGTTGTATATCATATTTTTTTTTCAAAATTTTTATTCGATGATTAAGGGTTGAAAATTAATAAATAAATCTTTGAAAATGATTTTTATAAACAATCCCTTGGATGACACCCACCGAAAAAATTCAGAATAATCCTTTACTATTTAACTATTATCTGTAAAAATTTCAAGAGTGTCGGATTGGTACATCATAGTTAAAAAAAAATAAAACCAATGCAACGCCCTTTCATAAGGCAAAGCCGGCCTGAACGTTAGAGGCGCTCAACCTAACCGACCTACAGGGGAATACGTAGCGCCGACCCGCCACGTTTCTCGTACCAGAAACAGCTCTCAGAAAAGTATGAGCTCTTCTTTCCCTAAACTGTGTGTTAATTAACAGTCATTTATTTAAATAATATATTAACAATTTAAATTTTTTAATTAAGTTTTCTGGTCCTAATTTTTAACGTCCGTGTTTTCACGGTGTTTCTCGTTTTAAGTATGTGGGAGCCCTAAAAAGAGCTGATTATGTTGTACGTTACAAATGGCACCCTTATATAAATGCAACTAAGGTGTTCCTCGTTTTAAGTATGTGGGAGCCCTGAAAACGGCTGATTATTAAGCCCTAAAAAGAGCTGATTGTGTTATGTATTGTCAGGTTGAAGTATATGATTTGAAACAGAAAACTCAAAAACTTTTTTTAAAAAAACACGCTTGAAAAATAAATTTTAATCTTCGTCGCTATTTTCATCAATAACTGGAATAATGTTAGTTTTGTCAAATAAGTGAGTTAAAATTTCAGACGGTTTAACTATTCTGGATTTATAACGCGCATGGGATAAATAAATGATCGCGACGACGTGGGAGCAACAACCTACCGTTCTGTTACCATTCGGACAATCGCATGCATATTGGTTTATACCCGCGTAACTATTTACGTTTGATTTGTATTCTATGTAACAATTGTAAGTTTTACCGTTTATATGTCGCGACCGAACTTTCATTTTTATAATGTTATTGTTTTGTTGTAAATATTGTTATTTACACATTATTGTAAACATTTACAGTTATTGTAAACATTTAACGCGTCATGTTCGTCCAATAATTCCGCAAGATAACGTTTTTGCCGCGAGATTTTAAAGTTTGGAAATTCTATCCAATTAACGACTCCTCTATATTCGGCAACAAGAGGGAACAAGACAGTGGACACTAAAATCATGGACTCAGGATCGTACGCTTTACCCTTTATGATGCGCCTATTTACACGCCAATTTAGGCTCCGTGATTGCGTAAAAAAGTATCAGGGCATATAAACCGCATTGGAAAATACACCATTTGTACCATAAAACGCGCTTAACTCTTTTCTGGACACCCATATACTTAAAACGAAGGTCACCTTAATTGCAGCCATTTCCAGGTAGTACTGGTACGCTATAATATAATTAACCCTTTTCAGGGCGACCATATACTTAAAACGAGGAAAATCTTAGTTACAACTATTCACAGGTACCAGCTACAATTTAATTAAAAGTAATACGTACGTGAAAAGGTAAAGACGGAAATAGTTATAGAAGTCTATGTTCTTTACAGCGTTGAATAGAATGATATTGCATTTATAACTGTGATACCTTCTTTGACTATTAAAAGGACAACTAATGGCATCTAACACAGTGCCATTGTTCAAGACATGATATAAATCTGTGATTTAGGGCTCCCACATACTTAAAACGAGAAACACCGTGAAAACACGGACGTTAAAAATTAGGACCAGAAAACTTAATTAAAAAATTTAAATTGTTAATATATTATTTAAATAAATGACTGTTAATTAACACACAGTTTAGGGAAAGAAGAGCTCATACTTTTCTGAGAGCTGTTTCTGGTACGAGAAACGTGGCGGGTCGGCGCTACGTATTCCCCTGTAGGTCGGTTAGGTTGAGCGCCTCTAACGTTCAGGCCGGCTTTGCCTTATGAAAGGGCGTTGCATTGGTTTTATTTTTTTTTAACTATGATGTACCAATCCGACACTCTTGAAATTTTTACAGATAATAGTTAAATAGTAAAGGATTATTCTGAATTTTTTCGGTGGGTGTCATCCAAGGGATTGTTTATAAAAATCATTTTCAAAGATTTATTTATTAATTTTCAACCCTTAATCATCGAATAAAAATTTTGAAAAAAAAATATGATATACAGCTAATGAATACCTACTATTTGCACTTTAATGTGATCAAATATCTTAAATAGTTTCTGAGAAAAAAAATGGTAAATGTTTTGGGTTTTACCCTCATATCTCCCTTATCAGAGGGGGTACGGGGTTGAAATTGCACACAATTGTTGTTTAGGCAAAAAGCATTATGTGATATAAATATCAACCGAAATTGTTACTGGGGCCGATTCACTATGCTTATACGGCTAGACCCTTTCGTGCGCGATCGATGGCCGAAGGGCCCGTCGCGCGAACATCGTCCTTGGAGGGGACGGTTTGGCGAATCGTAGCCCGTTTTCGGAAGTGTCGCGTGCCCGGTGATTGGCTAAGACGCGCGAGCTAGACGAAGATCTTTCATCCCCTTTCTTTGGTGTTCCTTCCTTTTCTCATTCATCGCCATGATAGTTTCAACGGTTTTCAGAAACTACGCAGTATTTCTCTTTATACATGTAATTAATTAACGGCATTTATTCGAGATGTAACTATTTGAGATTTGATATTGAAATATAGATTAAAATTGCAATATCGGGTTTGATAGGAAACCGTCATCCGTATATCATGATCAAAATTATTCATTCCCGATTTGCAATAAACAGTATGATTTTATATGTTTAACAGCGGATGATGCGCTTACGGTGGTTGTAACGCCGTGGCGAATTATGCAATCTATCGCGCATTAAAACTATCGCCTCGATATATTCGGCATTTCGCATTTTATAAACTTTAAACAATTCTAGATCTGGCGAACGTTCCTTCGAGAACGTTCCTTTGTTCAAAATTTGCCGTTATCACTAGGCAGTTCTTAGAATTTCGATACAATAGTGTTTATTGCTTCGAACGACCCTTGATTTTCGAACGGCGGTCGAACGTTCGCGACGTTCGCTTTCGTAAGGGTTCTCAATTCTTACTTTCATTGTTTAAATTTGTTTCATCCATCCACTCTCTCATACTATTGTTACAATCAGGTAAAGATGATCCTTGTTGGACCGGCTGACGCTTTGTGCAACAGAGTGAGAAAGAGGTTTCTAACAAAAGAGTTATTACGATTTTCCCGTTTCTACGCAGTTACCAAGGGAATTCCCGAAATGTCAAGCACTGGCTAACTGCGTAGCGCTGGTGTTATTGCTACGGCTCTCTCTCTCTCTCACTCGAGCTAACCCGAGTTTTTGTGCATATTAGTCTCTTATTACAATGGCTGGCGACGATAGTTTCAAGGAGGGTCACGTAAACTATTGAAAAGTAGAAAATAGAAACGGCCTTTCCTCGTGTACCTCGCATGAGAAATTCTCGTAACCCTCGAAAGGGCTTGACAAGATACACGATTCCAGGGTAGAGCAGGTAAAGAAGAGAAAGCGATAGAGGAAGTCAAAAATAGAAAAGAATTAAACTCAAACTCTTCCCTGTACATCCCTGCATGAGAAATTCTCGTAACCTCGAAAGGTTTGACAAGAATGTACAAGGTCGAGGAGGAGTGAAAAGATTGGCGGAAAACCGAAACACCCGCCTGTACGCCCCTTACATGAGAAATTCTCGTAACCCAAAAGGGCTTGATAAGGGACGCAAGGCGGATAATTTCAAATTCTCCGCCGGGACGTAACAGTATATACTGTTATGTTTCAACATGTGATATGTATCTTTTTTCTTTTTGTAAAAAATCATGGTAATTCCAATTAACGAAGCAATCTTTATTGCTATTTTATTTTCGCACCATTTTTCAAATACACAGAAGCGTGGGAAAATATTCAAATTTAAAATAATAATTAAGAAGGCGTAATACTAAAAGCCCTGCTTTAATTTGTGCATTTAATATTTGAAAACATCTTTAATATGCTATTTTTTAAATTATCATTAGACCTTGATAATTAGACATTAGATATATAAATATTCTAGAGGTTATTCTTCGTGTAAACCGTTCAATTTCTCATTACTGCTTTGGTACCATTTTACATCCTCATTATTACGACTGGCGCAGTCCTGATTGCATCGTATCACAGCAATAACGATATTAAAATTAATGCTTAATGATTGAAGTAGCGATTAATCGTCATTTCTGCTATTGGTAAGCGTCATTAAAATTATTTAATAGCTTCATGTAAGCAGGTGTTAACGTTCCTCGTACTTCCGCATATTACCATGCTTCGAACTTATGCAACAACCACTCGAATTCTTCGTAACGTATTATGCAATATCCTTTTCTCACGAAAACAAAACGCTGTGTTAACTCTTGGTCACGTGTGCTTAGATTGCTTGAGATACGTGAAAGTGTTTTATTGAACGCATTTTTTCAATGAAACAAATAATTCTTGTACATTTGTAATTGGAAAAGAAAATAAACCTAACGAAATCGAAATACGTTTTGTATTCAAGTACAAAAGATATCTAAAGAATATAAAGGGTATTCATGTTATTATGTACTTACGTGTTATTTGATGAATTTCCCAAAAGGAAGTCACTCGATATTAATTATATTATCTTATTCATATGTGTAGCATTTAGTTACATACAGTTGGCAGGAAGTCGACTTTTGAAATAGAAAAGAAAAAAGAAGAGGCGCTCGCATCGCATAAAAGAGCGCCAAACATCAAAACAAGGTGGAATTTGAACTTAATCTATGTATAATGTGACATTTAACATTACTATTTAACGTTCTTCTTTTAAATGGTACATTACTAATTACTTTTTAAATGGCAAATATGTAAAGAGAAATGAAAGAGGAAAAGGTTTTACTACTTTTTATAGTCAAAATAAGAACCTTTGTAGATCTCTTATATTTGTAATATTGTTTAAAAAACAATAACAATCTTAATTCTTTTAAAGGGGATAAAATGTTTGATATAAGAACTTGAAAATTTTCAAGAATTATTGATTTTAAAAAGTATTTGATGAATATTTATAAAATAACATAAATAGTGAGATTAAAATAAAGAATGAAAAATATAAAGACAGGAAAGTGTGCATCGTAAGAGATTTTTTTATCTTTAATACAATATAGATGTAATTATTGTTTCGTTTCTTTTCACTTACTATTTTCAGAAAGTGCTGGAAGAAGATGAAGAATATAAAATAAAGAGAAACTTCAAAAGAAATTTAATTATTGAATTCTTTTAAATTATTGATTTCAAGAAATGTTTGAAGAGTATTTATAGAATTACTTATTCAACAATGAAATTAAAAAAAAAAGAAGAATATATTAGGCGTACAAATTAATTTTGTGCCACCTCTTTTTTTTTAATACAAGACTTATTTTTAAAAAGTCATAGTAATCTAATTTATTGAAGTAGTTTTTATTATCATATTTTCACGCCACTTTTCAAATACACAGAAGCGCGGAAAAATATTGATCCCAAAAAATATTTTTTGTTTTTAACACTAGAACTACCAAAGGGGTCAAAATGGTACGTTCCTGATTTCTTATTTAAAATTATAGGGTTTATAAAAATGGTTTTCTCAACATATGCGTTGACTTTTGCTTTGAGATAAAGAATTATTTATATGCTAATTTGTATTCAAGTCTTTACCTATTTGTTTTTCGATTTTATTTTCAATTTAAAAGTCAATATACATTGGACGCCGGTAGTTCTAATGTTAATATGTAAGAAATTCATGTATAAAAATAAACAATGACTTTGAAATATTACTTACCCTAACGTAACTAGCGTTGATGTATTCCGAAAGGGGATCGTTGTTGATTTTTTGCAAAGGCACCCTAGTCTCCGGAAGTGGTATCACGTTCGCGTATCGGTTCTTCACTTCCGCGCCGGTTGGCATCTCGTCTATCTTCGCCGAAACTTGCGGAATGTTGGAGAATTCTTCGTTGATTGCATTAACGTCGTTACAGAAAGATGAAAGCCCGGCGAAATTCAAGGGATGGGACGGTATCGCACTCTGTAACGAAGACATATCTTTCATGAAAACTCCTTTCCCCAACTTTTTACTGCAAAATTAATGAAGTTAATGCGGAACTTTTGTCCAGCTACCTGACTACAGTTGGCTCGAAGTTCTTAGTTCAATTTCTAAATGTGGATTAGATGGATGAGTTTATGAATGAGTTAAAATCATAATAAATTTCGTTCTTGAGATATAGAGTGCTATTACTAGAAGGTAATTATTTAAAGTATTCTACAGCGATGGACAAAATTATACGTCTGTAGGATTAGACTATTTACAGAAAGAAAATACATTAATTTACATATATTATAAGCATTTTATTTAAGTGATTTTGTTAATATAAACCACGAAACGAATGAAAATAAAAATATGCCACGTTGTGAATCATTAGATGAAAATGAGAAAATAGAAATTGTGTAATTCAAAGCTGATTTTAGGTGTAGGGGAGACCGGAGAAAGTTGATACAGGGGCAGGTTGATAGATTGAAATTTTTTGGACATTATATGTACAGTACAGATTCGATAATTGCGAAACGCTCGGGACCGTACTTTCGCTCGTATTGTGCAGTTCCTACATTGTTAGAAGTTTGTCGACCGCTTCGAACGTAGAAAAGGACAGTAAGTGAAAAAGGGACTGCCGAGTAAATTTTGTCATAAAATCGGTAAAATGTCTGTTGAAAATTATAAAGCGATTATAAATACAATGCTCCTTATACGTGGTTTTACCCATCACATCCTCTTAAATATTTAATGGTTTATCTCGGGAAGTTGACGACCCACGAAAAAATCTTTCGGACAAAAGTTGTCTATATTCGGGTATACTTCCGAAAGGCCCCATCACCCCAGGACAACCAAACATCGGATTTATAGTGATTGAGGGACGAGAAATCGAATGAGACCATTTTCAGAATTGGTAAATAAACCGTTCTCGAGGTATACAGGGTATTCTAAAAGTGTGGAAACCCCCTATTACCTCGATAAGAACGCATTTTCACGGAAAACGACTAACCTAACCTAGGTTAGGGTAAGGGTTAGGGTTAGGTTAGTTATTTTGCGTGGAAATGCGTTCTTATCAAGATAATAGGGGGTTTCCGCACTTTTAGAATACCCTGTATATCTCGAGAACGGTTTATTTGCTAGTTCTGAAAATGGTCTCATTCGATTTCTTGTCCCTCAATTACTATAAATCCGAAGTTTGGTTGTCCTGGGGTGATGGGGCCTTTCGGAAGTTTTCCCCTATATTCTCCTACAGAATATGATAGTATAATAAAAAATGGAGGGTACCATTTAAAAAAATTAAGTTGACCTTCATATGACCTTCAGGACCGCCCACTGAAAAAACCCATTCCGACCATCCAATTTGCCCCCTGACACATGACAACTTTTGTCTGAAACATTTTTCCCAACAATCTGTTGTTTAGAAGATATTTACCTGTTTCAGGATATGCGGTCCACCCTGTATAATTACAATTTAATATTTAGTGTTACAACCCGACATTTATACTATGACTTTGATACATCCAAACTGTAAAATTCATACTTCATACGTACTTCAAACTATATTTACGAAACAAAGATAACTTTGCCAAGATAAAACAGAACATAATGATACAATTAGTACAATTAAATAAAGCTGCGATTAGTGCTATTAAATATGCGATAATATTGTTATCGAATCCCATTAAATTTTCTATATTTCCAAATTGGCCATTCGATGGGTGTTGAAATATTTCTCTACATGGTTATTCTCTTATAATCAATATACTACAACTTTGTAACAATACTACTAAAATAAAGTTTTGAATAATTTACCTGTAGAATTAAATTATATTTACAAGTACGTGTTAAATGTATGCTATAAACAGAAAAACATGTATCGCTGGGACAAGTTAAAAATTGAAATATTATAAATAATAAATGTACAATTGAAATTGAAATCTTTACTTCTCCTTTATCGCATTCAATATTTTAAAGATAAGATTTAAGAATTATAATTTGCAATTTTTACATTTCTGTTCTTTTACAAAATTGGTACCTTGAAATTAAATCGTAGAACGAAGACATAATTATAAAATAATAATAATTAAAAAGAAACACATGTATTCACGTACCTATTTTCTTTTTCTAATTTTGGTTTGGTAAATTCTAAGTAATATTTAATATCATTAATAAGAACGTCCAGTAATAACTTAATTAAATGTTAAAAATAAGAGTGAGAAATGAAAAATTTGGACTTTTCTTCGAAATACTTATTTCTCTTTTTAATTTCAAAGTAAATTGTTAGAAATTATTTTTCGACAGAATACAAATGTCATTTGTTAACACTAGGACAGCCAAAGCTCTAAAATGATCAAACCTTAGATTGATAAAAATTATTAAGGTGGTTTATAAAAACGCATATAATATTGAAAAAAATTAGTGCAACTTACCGAATCTTCGAAGGTAGGATTCCCATAGCTTCTTTTCGACGAGCGTGCCACACCTTTTCGTCTAACGCTGTTATATGCAGAGACACTGTCAAGACTATAAGCGTCCAAAGACACTGGACGACATCGTTCGCCGTAGTTGAACCTCGTTTGCCTCTTCCTCATTATAAACTGTAAATAATTTCAAGAACAATTAATGCATTTTCATTTCAGAATTGCTAGAAACACAAAAGGTCTGAATTATTATGCAAACTAGTAATAGAAGTCTTTATCAACAATGCAATGGTTTCAAATAGAAGAAAATATAAAGTTAACAAGGAAGTCACAAAAATTATTTTTATTTACAAAGTACAATTATTTTATAATAGCCCCTTTATTTTTTTAATGTTAAAGATATAAAAAATTATCCATATAAGAGTTGTATGACAAGCAAGAATAAATAGAGTAAGTGTAAACAATTTTACTATCTATCAGAAACTCATAAATTAAAAATTAATATTGTTAAATAACACTGCCATAGAATAAATCAGTACATTTGCATTATAAGTATTATATCTAGAAAATTAATTTTAAAACATTTATGCATTATAAATCACTGAATTCATATAAAAAAGAAATAATAATACATAGTATTTATAAACACCTGATTTTTGTATTTTTCAAAGTAATAGTGTACAAAAATTTGTTTTCATTAATATCTATTTTGTCTTTTCATATTTATACAACTTTTATATGAACAAATTTCTTTTTATCATTAGTACTTAAAAGCAACGAAGCTCCCTCAAATTAATGTGGACATCTTGTACATTCAATATCGGATTAAGATTTCTGGGGCCAGGGGTTATTAAACTTTCGAGGGCCCCCCTTGGTTGATAAATTTGGTTCAGAAATTGAAATTTATCCTAACTAAAATTAAATAACATCTAATCGTAAAAGAAGGAGGGGTAACAATAAAAAAAAATTTCATTCATAATTTTTTGAAATAGTAAATGGAGGGTTTATAACAAGCCCCCTGGAAAGTGAGACCCAGAGCTGCAGCCCCCCTTAGACCTCAACTTAATCTGGCGCTGAGTATATGTAAGTACATACATGTCTGAAGCGTTCCCATCAATTTTAAAAATGGATAGAATAAAATTCCAAATAACCTAGTATCAGTCCATTTCAGCATTCATTATTTAGGGATTAATGAATGTCTTACACGTTTGCGAAGGCAATTTATCATTTCATATCGCAATTGCAACATCATTGAAATAAACAACTATAATGGATTCCGTTAATTTATACTGTTTGTCTCCGGGTCGAATAATATGGAAACACCGGACATCGTGTAACAAGCTGTGTTTCTTCTGTCGAAACACGTTCGAACGAGCGGTTTCAACATCCCAGCTATCGTGTATGGAATACGTAAAGCGAAGACTGATGAAGTGGTGATGGTTTGATCGATCTAATCGCTGATTCAAGGACGAACATTGCAATTTTTGCCGAGGACAAGCGTCGAAGTGCATCACGAAACCACAAACGATCGCGGAACTTCTCGAAGGATTTCACGCTCGAGCGAAGAACTCTTTTCAACGCGCGAGTAGTCACCTTTTCCTTTTCGCAACAAGGACGCAAGGAACTATTTAAATGGCGACGACGACGATGAAAGTGTGAATGGAATTAGGTCATTCTATAAGTAGTACTGTCTCTTATTTTGCTTGGACAAATAGATGTATTTTGTTTATATTGCAATTTTTTATGAATTTTAGGTTCACCTTTGCTTTGGGACACACAAAATTATTGATTTCCTTTTATACATTCTAGTAATATCTTATGAGAAAAATTCAAAAATATAAATTTCAACTCTAGGGATATAACTGTTTAAAAATTATCTATTCGTAAAAGTAAACATTTTCAGCACACTTTTGAGGTTAGTTTGACGCCATATTGACTTCGATCTATAATCTGATTAGTCCACATTAGGGATGTTCGATTCCGATTCGATTCTTTAAAAAATCGATTCTTTCGGTAAAAAAATCGATCTTTTGAATCAATTCTTTGGTATTCGATTTTTTCCAGAATCGATTCTTTCATGTAAGAATCGAAGATCGATTTTTTGCCCTATAGGGAATTAATTCTCACTTTTTATATCGACTTTTTGATTTCGAATTTTTAGAAGAATCAATTTTTCTGATCCATAAAAACACATTCACTCCTAAAAAAAGTATAAGAATAGTGATTAAAACATAAACAATGTAGAGCGCTTGCTTTTGGTGTAAGAGCACGAAATATAAAAAAATACGAGATCGATTCTTTACAATAATCAATGCCTGTTTACAAAAATGAAAATAAAAAAGGAAACAAAAAAAGTCAATTCTTTTCAAACCGATTCTTGCAGAATCTATTCTTTGGTTTCGATTTTTTAAAGGAATCGATTCTCTCATTGTACGATCGAAACTCTTCAACATGAACAGTTCCAATCTTTTCGTTAGGTAAAAAATCTTTTAGAAATTAGATTTGATCTTGCTTCGTCCAAGGTTCGAACAAGAGTGCTCGTCCTCTAGATGTCAGCTCTTTTAAATCCGTTTTCCCCCTTGATTTTAGATCTCGAGTTTACTAAACATTCGAGAACGGTAAGGGTGATGATTTGGGAAAGGGCCATAATTACCGAACATTTCGAAAGGATGTTTAGGATCTGTCGACGCCGGTTTGATAAATAATCAATCGAGATTAGTATGATGTTAAAATAAGAGTTTATTTTGTGAATGCAAGGGAAAAAACTCGAAGGCGTAAAAAACCCTTGAAGTTGTTTGAATAAAAGGGAAAAAGCCTGAAGGCGTGAAAAACCCTTGAAGTTGTTTGAATAAAAGGGAAAAAGCCTGAAGGCGTGAAAAACCCTTGAAGTTTGATTTGTGTGTGTGAGTGTGTCGCGTGTGATATGGACGATATCGTATATACGAACGTTCGACGTTCTCCAGCGATTTGTTAATCGCGTGTTGTGGTGTTTCGGGAAGCAGCTCCCGTAGGAGTCTCCTGCGCGGAAAGACTATCCAGTCGCAAGGACACGAAGACGGCTCCGTTGAAGAATTCCGCGCGAGGAGACGTCCGTGTATGAAGATATGGTACCAGGTTCCGTTGGATCCCCTGCGCAGGGAGACGTTTGTTGGTTGCCGGCGGGACCTTGTTTTATTGGGAATAAGGGGCGATTCTTTCCGGTGAATCAAACATTCCTAAGTCTACATAAATGAGCATCAAAAAACCTAATCTAACCTAATGGTGTGGCCCGGGCACCGGTTTACCGGTGGCAAACGGGGCTCTGGCTGTGGACGTTAAGCGCCTGGTGGGATGAGCTGAGACCACGCAGGTAAGCTTGATAAAGTTAGAGCGTCCTAGAGCACAACTCCTTACACGCCGACAAAGAGTCAAGTGTTGGATCTTCCGTACCCGAAAACAATGATTTGAAATACATGAGTTGGACAGTTTTTCCACTCCCCGCCACCTGGGTGGTGGTGGCTGCTGGGGAGTGGATAGTATATAGAGCATATACCCGATCGGGTGAGGTGGCACATCCGCGCTTGTCTTCGGACGTCCGGATTCACAATAATCTAATCTAACCTAATACGTGCAAAACGCAAGGACCTTAAATTAGAGGCTCTAAGCACAGACAAATTTTAAGGCCCTCTTATGCAGGGGGTTCATTTAGGCACTTTCGACAATCGAACAAAAAATTGATTCTAACAAAAATTAATCAATTTTCAGTCAGTTACAAATTGCACTATGTGCATCTCATTGCAGGTATAGACTTCGCTCATTGGACGAATTATGAATACATGCAAATATGGCGTCAAACTAACCTCTCAAAATACGGTACAAAAGCTCAGATTTACGAACTTTTAAATGAATGGAATCTTAAAATTAAAACTTATAGCAATTGTAAAGAAAACGTTGCAAAGACAACGCAATCTGGAAGCGTCTAGGAAATTCGAGAAAATCAATTATAGGTTGCCACGCGGGCAGAGACGCCAGACGGGAGCGAAGTCGCGAAACACAATCGCGGAAAACGCCAAATTCATATTTAATAACGCGACTCGTTCTTTTTGTGCCTGTTGTTTCCAATAGAGAAGACGAGGTAAGTCAATCGGCCGCTCTTGGTCAGTAGGTAAGGGACTCCGGCAGAAGAGTACGGCGATAATAGCTGGACGTCTGCCGATAGAAAAGAAAGAGAGACCCCAGTGGGAAACTTCGGCGATAATACCCGGACGCCTACTGGTAGAAGGGGGAGTACGGCAATAATACCTGGCCGCCTAACAGCCGAGAGAGTACAGAGCATTTCCTGGACGCCCTAGTAGAAATAATTAACTCCTGGACGCCCGTTCGATATGGAGAGTTCGGTGACAATAGCTGGACGCCTATCAAACGGAGGAGTAGATACAGAGCATTTCACTAATTGTAAAACGAACTGTTCGATTAATTAGACGAAATATGAATTTCAAAAACCTTGTCGAACTTTATTCTTATAATCCTGTCTAATTCCAATAAAACATATATTTTTCAAGATTTTTTCTTGAATGTTACTTGAACATATAAAATAAAGTCAATAATTTTGTGTGCCCCAGAGTAAAGTTCAGTCGAATTTTATGCGCCTTACCCCTTTCAACACTATTCGGTGTATTTATATTTTAATTTTTAAGTGCACCAGAGCATCAGAAAAGTACAACTGTACCGTGTAAGTACTTTTATGTGTATTAATAGATGCAATTTTTCACTCTACAAAAAGTATCAAAGTATTCGTGTCTACACTGAAATAATTGAACTTTCGAACTGTAATTAAAATTCATAATTAAAGTGTTAAACTAAAAATATAAAATAAATAAACTTTTAATATATGTTAAAATTATAATTAATTAATAAACTAATATGTTAATATGTTAAAATAAACTGTTAAAATCAATAGTTTTAAGGGATAAGTATCTGCGTATTATTAATGTGGAGAGTGAAACACTTTATTTAATACATTTAGTGCATTGATAAGAATAGGGCTCCATTAAGGACAAAGGTGCACAGGTATGTACCTTGGTGCATTGATGCACAAAAATGCATAAACTTAATTTCAAAATATGTCTCTACTATTTACTTTGTAATAGAACGTTTACGTCAAGAATGATAAAAACATAGTAATATTAATTTCTAAAAATTTTTTCTCCTTTAATTTTTCAAAACGAATTTGACTGAAGAAGATGAACATTTTATATTTTTTCTAATTTCAGGAATTTCAAATCAACCTTGTATTCTATTATTTTTAACTACGTTAGAAATACAAAAAAAATTGTTTACCTGCAGAAAAAACGAGACAACACAAACGTATATACATAGTCACAACAATTTATGATTGATTGTTACGTACACTGGGAGTACATCACAAGTGTGGATGGATGAATACGTAACACCATGCGAAATGAGCTTAATGCAAGCATGACGAGGCCTTTCAGAGAGCATAGATTTTTGCAGACCTGCGTAACTGAACTTCAACTTATTAATTTCTTCCTTAGAGAATTTTATTTCGCATAAAAGGTGCTTTGCCGATAAATGCGCAATAAATAACATATTAATTTTATTATTATTTAATATTTAATTAATTATAATTATGACTTTTGATATAAATATATCAGGGTGTCCCGTAACTCCTGTAACTCCCGGAAATGGGGGGTTGCTGGGGTGATTCTGAACAACATTTTCCTTACCTTGTCATGAAATAGATGAGAGTATGGTAGTCATACAGGATGTTCAAAATGAAAAATTATAGCAGAGTATAAAGAAATATAATATTTATCAAAAGAAACGAAAAATGCAAATTAAGATAAATAAAACATTCCATTCAGTGAAATGTTACTTACTTCTATGCACAAACTTTCAGAAAAATGGCTAAAGGTAATTAATTATTAATTTTAGAATTTTTAAATTTTTAAATTTTGGAACTTGAAAACTTTTGAATGATGGAATTTTGGTATATTAGAATTTTGAAACTTTGAAGTTTTTAAATTTTAGAATTATTGAAACTATAGAACTTTAGAATGTGGAATTTTTAGAATTATGGAACTTCGAAATTTTTAACTAACGGAATTTTGGAATTTTGGAATTTTTGAACTTTGAAATTGTTCGCAAAGCACGAGTCCACAAACTTATTGTCGCACAAACTGGAAGAGAATGAAAGAGGCCCGCACAGTGAGACCAACTCCCTAGATTAATTTTCCCCCACCCCTTATTTCGACCTCCAACAAAAATTTTAAGATTTTGGGATATGGAAAATTTAGAACCTTAAAGTCTTAAAATTTAGAAATGGCAAAAGAGCTAGTCCATATTTTTATTAGTTACGTCAATGGTCATTGAGGTCCCATTTCATATATTAAATTGACAGCGATAAGGTTTTTGCATTAAAAGAATGGACCCGTCAGTTTGAAAATAAAATTCTACTCGTTATAACTTTTCCAAGATTTTGTTATAATATCCACCTACAATAAAAAAAATTGAACTAATAAAAGAAAAGTTGGTTGGGTTATGGAAAACGGGGTAATCTCCGATCAAGCTGATTTTTATACCATAGATAGCCCATGAGGTGGGGATTCCAATGGTGGTCATCTCATCTCTTAACTCTCCCCGCCGCCCCCGCAGAGGTCAAAAACTAAAATTGTCCAAAAAGTGATTTTCGCACTGAACTCAATGAGTACATAAAAAAAAAAAAAAAAATCCCCCCAAAAATGGTTCAAAAAGTGATACGTGTGGCAGCCAAGCGTGCCAAGGCGCCGAAACCGTCCCATATAAAAAAGTGGAGGGGAGGAGTTAGGTTAGGTTAGATTTTTTTTAGCATTGGTAGAGTTTTTTGGTTTTTTTTTTTTTTTTTTTTTTTTTTGAAATGATGTACACACGTACCACTTTTTGGACCATTTTTTGAGGATTTAAAAAAAAAAATGTTTTCCTCGTTTTCCGTTATTTAACCGAAAAGTTATTTATCTCTCAAATCCTACTCTGAATTGAGATCTACCCTGAATATCTTAAAATTTTAGAGTCTGTAATTTGGCACCAACTTTTTGGAACATCCTGTATCAGAAACAATGATGAAATGATTTAAATGGTCCGAAAGAAAGATAAAAACGAATTCTTACATTATTTTCGGTAAGCAGAACATTCATCCGCCCAAAATCAACGATGGGTGATTTTAATAATGAAAATATTCCACTAGTAAAATTAAGCAAGCAGTATTCAACATTGTGAGTAATTGATAAATGTTTTCTTACTAATATCGTACATTGATTCCAATACATATTTAAACATTTGCAGAAAAAAGATGAACTATTATAATTATTCGTTTCAATCTATTACAGAATTGAAATTTATATACAAAATTATTTGTAATTATTGTGTAAAAGAGCATCATTTTGTTGTAAATAATATGCTATTTGTAACTGAATATGAATTGAAAAATCTAAAACATCAAACATAAACATGCACCTATGAAATAAAAAATTTATTTAAATTTTATGTAAATTTTCTGTTTCATTAATTAAATAAATAAAATCTGTTTCAATAATTAACAAATATTACTATGGAACATTAGAAAAGATGATTGAAAACAGTATTTTGATAGTGATTATTAATATAATATTAATCAATGGAAAGAAATCAATTGCAATTACTTTTTGACAATTATTAAATTTTTTCGTGCTGCGGATAGTAAATTAATTATTCAAACAAAAACTATAAATAAAGTATACCATATTGTTTTTGAAAAATCAGTGGCGGATCCAGAAGCTTTGTTTTGTACAAAATATGTGAAAATGTATTAACTCTCTTAAGGGCAATGGTCCCTGAAGGACGCTCTACGGATCCGCCATTGAAAGAAATGAAGTAGAAGATCAAAGTAGCAAGAACTCTTACCAGAAGACCAGCCAGTAGAACCAGACAAATGAAGGCAATCGAGGAGACCACGACGACTGCTATCGCGTTTCCGGAGTCCGGAATTGTTTCCTGTACCAGAAGAAAGCTGTGTATCTGAAAAGAGTAGTTCAGTCGGCGGAATACGTTAACTATATTATATTATGTGCGTTAATTATTTATCTAATCTTGATATTTAATAACAAATAAACTTTCATCCGTTTCTATTAAATTGTTTCATATCAAATGGTAAATTTTGAAACATAAAAATTCTGATACAAATAACACTTATGGCATATTAATTTAATGCTTAAGGTTTGAAAAAAATGACTATGTAAAGGATTTATCAATATGTTTAATGAAAATTGTCTAATATTTCTTTTGAAGGAAGATTTACAACTTATAGTTTGCTAATAGACATTGTTCCAACGAACAGTCAGCTATTTAGTATTAAAAATAATGACGAAACCATTATGCAGCAATTTTCATTAAAGCTTCAACGTTAAATTGATATATTATAAATGTTGTTTTGTGATTATTTTATGTTCCGAAATTGTGTTAGACTTCATATGTTTAAAAATCTATCATTGTTTGTTGAAATTAGCAATCAGCCATTTTGTATTAAAAGTATTAATGAAACGTTTATGGAGTCATTTTCTTCAAAATTTTAAGTTTCAAATTAACATGCTACAAATTCTATTTTGTGATACTTCTATGTCATTAAATTATGTTTCGAAATCTGATATTTGATATACAACCACTTAATGTTTATATTTTGTACCACCGAAACCATAAAATATTATTCTTGTAAATAAATCAGTAAAATTTAATATCTGAAAATATCTTTAAAAAATAAAACAACCATTTCAGATTGAATTTTAAAACAAATTTGTATTAATTAATGGCTGTAATATTTAATGAATTTAAAAATATTACTTAAATTTTTTAAATAAATACTTGGAAAATTTTTTCTCAGATGTTAACTAGAAATTATTCATTAGAATTTATATACTTTCTTTTTCCAATTTTTTAACCCTTTCCAACCCAGTATTACCATATGGCAACATTCTTGTTGAACGCATCAGACAAATAGGTGTTCATAAAATTTTGTTTGTAAATCCATGATAATAGTTTATCTAGCGCAGTATAAACATAAAATTTCTTCACATTGTATTATGTATCTAGATTCTAGATATTTAAAACATAAAAATTAACGAAAGGAAATTTCTCTTAACAACTAAAAATAATTTGGGCTGGAAAGGGTTAAAAAGTTAGTACTAAATCTGTTATTTGAAATATTTTCTTTTTTTATTAAACTCAAAAAACTTCTTAAAAGATTTCTCTTTCATTTGTTTTACGTGAGGTCATTACCGATGACGATGGGACTAGCGTCACATCTTGTTGAACATATTTATTTCATTGAAATAGTTTATTGTGTTACGAATATGGTCCTGGTCTGTTAGAGGTGTGTCTGATCTTATGTTGTATTTTTGTTTTTGTAGATTTGTTATTCTACATTTATATAGTATGTGGTCAGTCGTTAGTGATTGGCTTTGACATAGGTTGCAGTGAGGAGATTCTGTTTTTTTTATTAGGTGTTCATAAGTTATTCCGAAGCCAGTTTTCATCCCGGATAGCACCGTCTTTTTTTTTTGCCCTCTGTGGCTCGGGGGGATCAGAATACGGCCACGGTATCCCCTGCCTGTCGTAGGAGGCGACTAAAAAGGAGTTGTAATCGAGCGAGCGAGGCAGTATGATGTAAAAGTAAGGATAAGAAACAGAAGAAAAAGGACGGTGAATGTGTGAAGTAACGTAACCCCCTGTGGCTCGGGGGACTTAGAATACGGCCACGGTATCCCCTGCCTGTCGTAAGAGGCGACTAAAAGGGGTCACACTAACACATACACACACGTACACACGCACGCACACACACCGATCACGATAACAGTATGGAGAGACAAGTTTACAGAAGTAAAAGTATGGATGGGAAAGAAAAGAAGGAGAAATTTAAAAATGCGCGGGGTTTGGGGTTGGCAGTGATGCCAACCCATCCCCATATGCGCGTGGACGATAGCACAGCCGACTCTAGTATTAGCCGTGCTGAAGTAAAAATGGCAACACCGCGGAAGTTCGGTCTGAATATATCAACACCTACCCTACTCTATCTGCCTCCCGGACTCCCAGACTCTCAGCCAATCAACGTCGTCAGACTCCCGACTACTCTCTGGACTTCACATAACCTCTTTGGTTTCGTTCCAATAATTTCGCTTGTTTCAAGGTTTTTATTAACTTATATACACGTTCATCAATTCTTAAATGTTTCAGTTTGATCCAAAGATGGTTTCATTTTGCTTCATACCTAAATTTTCTTGAAACCACTGTAAATATTTCAAATATCATGCTTCACAACACCAAACTACTTTGAGAGTACACAAAATATATATCACATTTATAAGAATTTTATACTACCACATCACTTCTATTTGCCATAGTTGCAACGTTTATATATTGTTTATACATAATTAACACAAAATAGTGTATATTAGTACAGCTTTTAATTAAAAAAGACGTTAATTACAATTCCGAGCATAGGACTCTGTTTTTGAAAATAGGACTCCCGATTGTCACGTGAGCGGTGTTGCCACGTTGTTCAGCATGGCTAGTACTAGAGTCGGCTGTGACGATAGTGTTCGTTGGGCAACATGGGGGCAGAAAAGCCCCCAAAAAACTCCGGCCCCTGTAGGGGCGAAATTAGTGATAGTGATAGTGAAGTAACGTACGGCGCGAATGAGAAGAGATTTAAAAAATGGCGCGTATACACGCGTGGCTGATAATTTTCGGTGGGCAAAAAGGGACCGATGTAAAGTCCCTAAAGTACGCCACTCCTAAATAGGGGAAACTTGAAGTGAAGTGAAGTGAAGTGAAGCTTCATCTTTTCTTTTCTGTTCAGATTTTTGACTCGTACTTGTCGGTAGAAGTGTTCGATTATAGTTTTTATTCTTTTAGTTGTGATCCATATTTTCTTTCATTCGTCTTTTATGGCTGTTTTTATCTGATTTGTAATATCTTGATGAGGAACTGGGGTAATTGGTTTAGGTAGTGGGAGGGTTGCGTCTTCTTTAACTGCAGTATCGACTAATTCATTCCCCGGTATTCCTTGGTGCGAAGGGATCCAGACTATGATTGTGTCCACATTATTGTTTGAAAGTTCTGTATAGGTCCCTTGAATGAAGGCAATTTCATGTTTATTGTTGTTACAGTACTGTTGAATTTCGCGCTATTACTTTTAATTCTACTTACTAGACAATAGTATCCGTTATGTGTCGAGATGCGGCGCTTTGAAAGCTTTCTTTCTTTTTTATTTTCAATGAGTAACGTTCTTTTTTTTTTGGGTTCGTTAGTTGTAACCGATCGATGAGCGATCTCACTCATATTAATAAAACTTTCGGTTCCTCCAGTAAAAACTCTGTGTTCAATATTATTTTACAAACAATTATTGTTTACGGCGCTTAGAGCTTGGATTACACTCATTGAGTTTGTGTAGATGACCAGGTTTTGTAAGTTGTTAGTGAGTGTGTATGGTTTAAGGCTCCGAGAATGACGTATGCTTCCGCGGTGAAGATCGATGTCGTTTTGTGTAGGCATTTTTTTATTGTTATATTGTTTGCTATGACAGCATATCTTACTCCTGATTTTGATTTCGATGAAAATTGGATTGTACTTATGATCAGTGAACACTGAGTTCCATCGAAGTTGTCGCAGTGAAGTTGGCGCACTAACACACTCACGCCGCGTCGATGAGCCGATGGGCGAGGTGCCGATGACGCGGCGTGAATGTGTTAGTGAATGTGTAGCCAACTTCGATGGGACTCAGTTGTACATACAAAAAGATACTAGAGGTATCACTCCTGTTGACCGAGAGTAGATTCGAACTTCCAAATACGTTCAATGGGTGCTTGCGGGCCCATCCGCGGTGTATCGTGAGTTGTATTGAACTTGTCGCCGTGAAGTTGGCTACAAATTCACTAACTCCTTCACGCCGCGTCGGTGAGTGAATGCGTGGCCAACTTCACTGCGACAAGTTCAATGCAACTCATCGTACAACGGTTTACTAGTAAGCACAATTTCGTCAATGCATTGTTTCATGAGCCTGTTCCTTTTGACTTTTTTTTCCTTGGTTTTAGCGTAAAATTGATTTATTATTTTATTGAGTTGTAAACTAATATTAGAAAGAAACTTGGATACAAAGCTATTGCACAGAAATGTTACCCTGTCGCTGATAAGCGGAAGTTTAGACTCTGCTAATAAAATATTTGAGCTGTTCTGATAGCTGAGTACTGTATCCTTTCCAATTCTTCTATAAGTCTTTTTTACGTTGGGTAGTATATAAAACAGCCATAATCGATATATGGCTGAATAATACTCCTGTAGAGAATTATAAGTGTTACCGGGTCAGATCCTCACTAAGTGCCGCATAAGAACTTTATGATATTAAATGCCTTCATATATTTTTTCCGTACATAATTCAAATAAGATATACAAGTCAATTTATAATCGTAAATGATTCCCAAGAATTTGATAGATAGTTCATTATTTTTAATTTCCGTTTCTCCTAGGAGGACGTTCTTTTTATTAAAATGAAGAAATGTTGTTTTTGGAGCGTACAGTTCAAGTCCCAAGGAAAGGAGATTTCTTTAAAGGATTTTTATGACTTTATCAATAAGATTTTTGTGTTTTTGAACTAGTGAAATTTTCGAATACAATGCAATATCATCTGTGAATTGCGAGATAGCGACGTTATTAGGAAAGTTATGTCTTTAGAAACGGACTCAAAACCCTGCCTCGAGGCACGTCTTTATAGACTAATCTACATTGATTACCTGTAATATCTATAGAGACTTCCCTTTGGTAGGTGGGAAATTTAACGAATGTAATTAAACGAGCTGAGCAACCAACAGAAGCTAGTTTTCTCAGCAAAATATCATGAATTACGTTATCGAAAGCCCCACGAATATCCAAGAAAACTGCTATAGTATGTAGCAACATTATACGCTGTATATAGCATATGTTCCTATAAAAATCTATGTAGGTAGATATATTTGGATTATGTAGAATGAAATCGTGATCGTCGATGCATTGTAACAGTCTTTCTCCATTAACATCAGTGCCCGAACAATTCCAAATCCTGTGATGGGAGTTTAAAATCCCCTATATCCATCCAGTTCTCGTTATTGTTAACTTTGTTGATTATTTGCTCCCATTGGGTCTAAGAAAAAACAAAACCTCGAACCTCGCCATAATTTTAAATGAAGGGTTTCCGTTATTAAGATGGATATTTGTTGATGAGCATCCGTTGTTGATGAGCTTTTGCACAATGATAGAGCTTGAAAAACTGAAGCTAATGATACCCGGTTTTGGGCGCAGACGGTTATTAGTTTATGAGATATTTAATGTTAAAGTTATTACCCTGCTTATGATCTGAAGTATAGGAAGTCTTTTCAACAAGGATCGTGGAGTAACCAGTAAGGCGTCGACCTCCCGATAGGTGGATGTTTTTTGTCGCGAGTTCAATTCTCGTTGGACAGATTTTTTCAACATGTTACAATAACTGATGCAGAAAACTGTATCCGGATGGAGAAAAATCTAGCGTTATTGTCACTAACATTTGCTGATTTGTCAGCAAAACGCGTTAAAAGCTGAAACGCGACTTCAATCTGAAATATTGTTGTTCCATTCTTCACACTTAATATTTTGCTTAAATCATTTAGTTATACCCTATGCTATTAAGTAATTAATCCGTTTAATTCATTAAATTATACACAAAACAATACAATAAACTAGAAATATTGAAATGCTTATTCATTTTCTTAACCTTCGGACAGCGGACCATGGAGTGAGTCCTAACTTTAATTTAATTTTATCATATCAGTTTCATTTTCTAAATTTTGCACTGTTCCTTTAAAAATTATTCTTCCAATATATAAAACTCCTTCGTTTAAAAATAATACATTTAACTTTAGGTTAACCCTTAGGTGGCACTGTGGGGTATGAGACGACCCCAGCTAATTCAGCTTCAATTTAAGCCACTTTTGGCTAAAATTCGTCCCTTCAACTCTCCAAATAAAATACCTTTTTTGAAACCACAAGAGTGCCCAGCTAAAATTTTAGCTCTTTATATGAAAATTTGAAAAAGTTATGAATTTTTTTGTGAAAACTCATTTTCTCGATTTCTCTACATTTTTTAATTTTGGTTTTTTTTCATATTCAGTATTTAATTTTATTAAAATTAGCTACGAAATATGTTAAAACAACTTTCAAAGATTATTTAGGAATTTTTTCAAGTTAAAATAATGAATAGCTTCTTCGCAAGAAATATTTTAGTGGTTGGGGTCTTAATCGTCCCCAGTGTGCAGCAATGTTATTTTGGTAAAGTGTGCCAGCTAAGGGTTAATATTCTTGTATACGTTTTGTAAGTTTGGGTCAGAACTGACCCAAACTCCACTGTTGAAGGGTTAATCGATAGGTACTACTATTTACTTACTGTAATTGGGAACTTCACATGAGAACTTTTGTACAAGGTCGGCAAAATGTTAGTCATAGCAGTATCCAATTTTCCATCTTTGTCAACGACGTAAACGAGTATTGATGTCATGTCCGATGTTGTTGGAGTCGAAGTCGGAGATTCCTGGCATGGATCTTGATGAATGATAATTTGCTCGTCAGATATCGACCTGCAACCAAGGATACGACAGCATGTCATCGTATGTTGAATACATTGCTGTGATGTCAAGAGCGTATTACATGTGTATTAACCTCAAACCGTCATATAGTACTTGAAATCCTCGACTTCGCGTCTCTGATTATTATCGCGAGATATCCCAGGGTTAATGGCATGATCAGGTGCTTTGTGGTAGTTATTGCTTGACATGCGTTAACGTTTCTCGGAATAAATTTATGTTATGTTTTTATGTTATGTAGGCGTTTAGTGTAGGGGGAGAGAGGGTTTCGTCTCCCCAAACACCTTTAGTTCGGGCCGGGGACCGCTAGGTGGCGGCGAGAGATCGGTAGCAGTGTTCTCGCAAGCAGTCGCCCGGCATGCAGTTCGAATATGAATTTGGGTATAATAGGTGTTTGGGGCAGGGATCGTCTGTTGTCAGCCTCACTGACAAGTCTGACAGACGATCCCGCAACGGAAACACCTTTTTCTCCCCTCTCTTACAGTTATGAGATACAGTAAAAGCTGGATAATATGCAAAAGAGATTGGGATCCCAAACATAGCATATACATATAATTCAGCCGAGGGGTGTCGATTCTATATTGTTTGTTCTATTATTATTTTTTATTTACTGTGACGCGGCGCAACCTCGTATCGCCTCTTTACCATTAGCTTGTAAATTAATTTAATTTTCAATAGATGGAAACTGTCTGGTTTGAAGAAAATCACGGGCAGAAATATTCTGAACAGAACCGTGGCAACAGTAAGTTTATCAAGCCATCGACCAGTTTAATGCTTTGCTAGAAATTTGCTATTATTATTTTGATAAATAAATATAATTCAAATTGTATCGTGTTTATTTCAATGTACCATTATATTGTGTATAATGTGCTTTATTATTTTACATTATCCTTTTATTATTATTTTAATAAGAGCAACGTATTTTTGTACTTTGTATAAATATAATTCAAACTACATATATCGTGTTTGGTCTTATTTTAATCAGAAAAATCTCACAAATGGGTTAGTAAAAGTTTCATTAAGAAAAAGTTTCATTTAGAGAAAAAATTCTAAATTATTATATTTTTTGTTACTATATACCTACTAGAACAGATAAAACTAATCCTTTAGTCAGAAATTGCGGAAATCATATCTGATTCTATAAAAGTATAAAGGATTAAAATAAAAAGTTGTTAGTTGCTATGTTGAAAAACTTTTTCTACATCAAATACATATATTAAAAAATCGCTGCTTATATTGGAATGTTATTTTCAGAAACTATATCTTTTTAGTTGCGATTTTCGAGTAAAGGATTAGTCCTATCGAAGAAATGAAAGAGACCTTTTTTGTGCAGAATTGTAAGACAAATAACTTTTGTCTAAAACATTCTTTCGTATCTGCATTTGTTTTCGAGAAATTCAGTAAAAACCGTTTTGAGGGTAGTTCTAAATATAAAACAACCCTTAAAATACTAAACAGGGATGGAGGAGTCAGAAAACCATTTTGACTAATTCTAGTAAAATCCCCACTGTTATCAAAGAAGTATTGACCTTCTTTTTGTGTATACAGTGCTTAGCCAATATTGAGAATGGTGAGAATTTAGTTACTTTGACCTCCTGTATCTCCAAAACTACCCCTATGCTCAACTTGAATTTTTTTTTTGAGATTAATGTACCATCATATAGAATTGATTGGCACATAGTTAGATTTGAAATTCGAGTGGGAAAAAATGGGCGAAAAAACGTGTGTTTTTGGAGTCACTCTTTGTACAGAAGTATTAATATAGAGAAGGGTGAGCAGGTTTGGGTTAGTCTTCAATTTAAGTGAAAAAGAAATATTCTGTAAAATTAAAAAATGCCTTATCATCGGTGTTCCATTATAAAATAAACTCTTGTTATATTGAAAAATTCTTGAATCAACAACATAGAAAAAGCTCTTTCCATGTGTGAATCATCTCCATGTGCCCAATACATAGTAGGCAAGCGTCTCTAGCATGTGTGTATGGGAATTTACTCAATCGGCAATATAAAAAGTGGCAATATAGCGACAGAAATTTTAAATAAATGTACGATATATTTATTTTATGAATACAAAAGATACTAAACAATGCAGTAAATATCCTATAACCATCCACCAAGAAAACTTCTTTTATTGAACATCTTCCTAAAAAAATTTAAAGAAAAAACACCTTTTTTTAGTTTGTAAATGAAAATATCATCATAACAACGAAATCAAGTAGAAATAAAAGCCGGTGATTTGATTATGAACTATCGTAATCGTATCTTGAGAAAGTTATGAGAATTTTTAATATTGAAAACTTTGAAACAATCTCCTGTGCTTTTAATTAGCTACACATTTCCTGACACCTGACTTTGGTACATAATTTTTTACGTAAACATTTTTTATTTCATTTCTCTTTACCGTTCTCTATATTAATTAGAGTTTGGAAAGTGGCAAGTTTATAATGTACATTATAGAAGCTTCCGAACATATTTCTCCCTGTAATCTCTTTTCCGATATAAAAGAAAATATGGAACTGCAAAGGCTATTGATTCTATAAAATATGCGGCCGTCAAAGTATGTGTTAAACTGCTTAAACTTGCCACGAACATTTTCACAGAGAATTACCATAGCGAAATTTTCGCTCTTATATCAATTTTTATGTTCAGGGGACAATTAATAATACGTGGTATATATTGAATTAAAATTTTTCATTTCTTGTGAAATTCATCTTAAAGTGTTATCTATTTATTACAAATGACTCTTCATTTGTTTATAAACCTTTTCAAAATTTATTTTTCTTTCAAGTGTATTCTAATTAATGGTAATAATCCTTCTGTTAAGTTAGATGTTTATTATATCAAAGTATATCATAGCCTATTGTACTATTTGAAAAATTGGTTACTATGGATTATAACTTTTAGTTTACAAAAATTTAATAGCTGAATAATGACAGTATTTTAGTAATAATTAAGGAACAGTAATACCTTCTAGAATTTTATAAATTCTAAATTTAGATTAACTAATATTGCATTTTTTTAGTTTATTTAGTTGGAAGAATTAATAAATGTGCTAAACTTTATTAAGTTTTTAACAATAATAATTGTAAATTATTTAAAAGAAAATTATCACTACATGCTAAAAATTGAAAATGACTGTATGTCTGAAATAAAATTAAACAGGAATTATGTATATGAAAAATTACTTGAACAGTAAAGGATTAAAATTAATATTAAAGTATACTTTAACTTTCAAAACAATCATCATTAAAATCTATTAAAATAATAATTAAACAAAAAACAAACAAAATTGGCAATTAAATTCGCGACCTTTTTATTTTTCTTCCTCTACACAATTATTTTATTTATTAAAATTCAACAGATAAAAATCTTCAATCAAAGTGAACGCTATTCGAATCAATAATTATTTGCTATATTTACAATAATTTGTCAATTTTTCTATTGTAAAGCAAAATTAAAACCAAAGAGATGCAAGCGACACTTTTCGAAATTGTTTAATTAAGACCACAAATGGACAATTAAATTGTTAAGTACAATGTTATAAATAAAAAGAAGTCACTTGCATCTCTTCTATATTTTAATTTCTTCATATTAATATTGATAAATAAGCACTTACTTGTTCATGCCAGTATTTAAAATTTCCGCAAGGGCCGACTTCAGCTCCTTCTTCTTGAGACACACGTCGTATAGGCTGCCTTCCATAACAATGCGGACCAGAGAGGTAACCTCTACTTGAGTGGGCGCCACCTTCGTGTCGTCTGTCACTCTAATCGGTATGTCGGAAACAGCTGGAGGAGCTACGGTACTCGATATGGGGATCTTCGGTTGCAGACTCGGGATAAAAGGGATAGGAGTAGTCACTCGAGTAGTATCTGTCGAGCTAATGTCCGACATCGTCGTGAATTCTGCAGAGGTTTCCGTAATATTCAACACCAGATTAGCGTCTTTAGAATCCGGTAAAGTTGTATATTCTATTTTAATCGTAGTGTCCCTATCACTAGTAGACCAAGACTCTGTAACGCTAATCGTCTTCTGAACTTCCTCCTCCCTCCTAGTAGAAGTTTGTTCAGTCTCAATAATCCCCGAGTCAGTGGTAAAATCATCGGACTGTGTCGTCAAATTAGGCAATGTAGTTGCAACAACAGTTGGGTCAGTCATTGGGACGCTAGAAACTCTATCATCAGTACTAGTCACTTCGATCTCATCAGTGGATAAAAGGTTATCTGTAGTCGTTTCGCCAGTTATCGTAGAAAAATCATTCGAAGAATTTTTCGTGAACGACGGCAGGATCGTGGAAATTCCACTGTGCGCCCCATGTCCCTCTGAAGTTTCCTCGGTTACGTTTCTGCTGAGAAAAGTGGTAGATTCGGAGAGACCAACAAACTCGTATTCGACGCTGGTGGTGGTGGGTACAAAAATTTCTTCCTGGCTAGAAGTACCACTTGCCCCGGAAGGGATTTCGTTCGTTCCATTGGTGTCAGGAAGTCCAGGAAGCTCGGTGACGTTCCCTGCGGACGTTTCCTCGGTGCCGGCAGCTGTGGTGGGGGGCAGCATAGTAGCGCTCTCGGTTGTTCTGATAGTGGTGGTGTCCGAAGGGGAGAGGGAAACCGACGACTTCTCTGAAAAATTCCCTTTGATCAACGGGTATTCGGTAGAAAGTTCCGTGGCATTGAGGCTCGAGCGAGTCAGCATAGACCCCTCGGCATTCGTCTGCACGTCGACGTTCGAAAATACTCCGAGCTCCGTCTGCGGGTCCGCGGTAGATTCCGTTGTCAGAAACTGGTAAGTCCGCTCATCGACGTTTTCCGGCTTTAGGCTGACTTCCGTGATGCGGTTGCCGGTCACATCGAAGCTCTCCTTCGCTTCGTGGCCTTCGCTCCACCGAGGAATGTTATTTCCCGCGTTTTTCACCTTTTCCTCGGACTTTGCGATCTCCTTCTGGTCGATTGATTTGATGACAGTCTTATTGGTCGGATTGGCTTCTTTCAGCGTCACCGAGGTCTGAGTCGTTACCGGTATGGACGAACGTGCTTCCGTGCTTGAAGATTCGTTGCTGGGTTTCTCGTAGTAGGTCGGTTTGAACTGTTGAATGCTGTTTTCCAAAACATCCGACGCTTCGGTAACGATAAACTTCTCATCTGATCCCCCTCTACCAATGGTATTCTGCAGGGCAGACACCTCCTCGGTGGTGATGTCCAGCTGGTTGCTAGAATTATGAAGCGGTTCAATGATGGATGACTTCACGTAAGGATAAGGTTTATCAGTGCTGATGTTCTTTGAGAACAAAGTATCCAATTTTAAAGATGTTGTAGGCTTCGTCTCCGAATTGGGAAATTCATTGACTCCCGAGAAAGCGATAGTTCTTCCCCTAGGAACGGGACTAGAAGGTGCCTGAAGGGTCGTCTCTTCATGATTCGTCCTTTCAGTCGTAATCTGCACTAATTTCTGCTGATTCTTCTCGCTGATTAGTTCTTGTTGTTCGATTGCTTCGGTGACCTTCGTGGAATGACGAGAAGGGTCCTCGTTCTGATTCGATCTCTGACTCAATTCATTCTCACCGGGGCTGACGTCTTTCAGCGTTGAACTTTGGGACTGCTGTTCCACGAGTCTTTGAATCACTGGCTGAGTCACGTTTCCCACAACCTCCACCTCCTCTTTGGGATCTTGGGACTCGTGAGTCACTGCACCACCCTCGGTGTTGGTCGCGTTCTCAAAGGCCCTCGATTGGTTTCCTGAGTCAAGGTTCTTCTCCGTCGACGTTTTGTAATAGGGGCTGTAGTTGACGTACGTGTCGTTGATTAACGAGATAGATCCCTCCTCTTTATTCTCGTCAGCTTCTTTCAAATCCGGAACTTCAGAGTTCTTCGTTGAACTAAGATGCTCAGCCTTTTTTCTCCTTTCTTGAAACTGCTCCGAATGAACTTTCTCGATGTTTGATTCAACCGTTTCCAAATTCAAAGCAGATTCTTTCGAAATTTTACCTTTCATATCATCTGCCAAAGGTGAAGTTTTGTTCGACTGTTTGACATCATCCTCAGACGTCGTTTTATTCTTTTTCTCATCTTCTGACACGGGTTTTGCGGTTACTGTAGTTAAACTGTTTGTCCTTGATAGTCTGACGAAGTCTTCAGTGACGGTCTTCGTGCTCGAACTCTTTCCGGAAGTCTCATAATGGATCTCCCCCAACTTCGATCCTCCAGTCGAATTCGCGGTCGATAACCTGTCCAGTTCATCGGGCGACCTAATTTCCTGCACCTCAGACTCCTCGTCGATCGACATTGGCACTTTCTCTTCGTCTTCTGCTTTGACATCTTTAGTAAGTTCGCCGTGTACTGTTTCGATATTCTTTCGATTCGAATCAATGGCTCCATTTATGTCTTCGGTGGAAACAAATTCTGTTAGAATTGTTTTGTTCTTTTGGGGTATTGTTAGAGATGCATTGATAGGGAATGATTTATCTGAGCTCGTCGGTGGCCCTTTCGTCGTGTCTGCAGCTACGGTGCTGAAGAGCAACAGGAGTACACCTGAAACACAATTGATATTGACCATGGTTTATTAATTAATTGATACTGATTGGGGTAATTGATAATTAAAAGTATGCTTGATCTATATCCAGGACTTTTAAATGTACTAAGTATAGTTCTCATTTTTTTTATACTGTATAAATATATTTTAATTCTAACTAAGAACAACAATTCGCAATAAAAGTTAATTAATACATTAGGACTTTGTAAGTACACTTTTTACTTTAGGTATATAATTATTTACTGTTTAGTCGGCATCTCCGATTTTTTTCAAACTGTACAGCCTTATTTAAGAAGATGAAATATTATTGAAAAAAGTGTCGCAAACAATTCTAAGCACTTTTAATTTTACATTCAAACCAAACCCACACCTAACATAAAACTAACTATTTGAACGGAAATGAAGTGATAGAAAATGAACAGTAAATAGTTGAAATAGGTTTAATTCAATGTTTATTATTAACAAATTTAGATAATAAAAAATAACAAATAGAGAATGAATAAAAAATGGGACTTAATGATCATCTAAGTCACTATCAGTATCTACTTCACTACTTATACTTGATAACTTTTCAATTAGTTAGTTTTAGGTTAGATTTAGATTTAGTCTTAGTATAAAATAAAAAAAATACTTACAATTGTTTGCAACACTTTATAAATGATATTACTTCTTTAAATATTGGTATCGACACTTGTTTCCGCACTTAACAAACTAAATAAAAATAATGAAATTTAATGTAAATTTTAGATTAGGTTTGGATTTAATTTTAATGTGCAATTAAAAGTACTTGTAATTGTTAGCAACACTTTTTCCAATTATATTCTACTTATGGATTGTTATACAATTGAATACCATTAGAGACTTTATATACATATTATGCATATTTGGGGGAATTACTAAAAGTAGAGATTACAGTAATAAAGAAAAAAAAGTTGTTACAAAAATATTTACGTAACAAAAACTGCAAAGAACAAGAGTAAGAGTTTTAAGTACTTGAATTAATTTGTTGCTCTAAACCGCGCTAACCACTATTGTCGTTAGTAAGTTGAAACATAAAAAGATAGTTAATTAGATTTAGACTAATCATTAAAATCAATTTCTATTAATTTCAGCATAGGTAATGTTACCTTTGGAAGTTAAAAGGAAAGGCCAGTGGAACTAGAAAATCATTACATAAAAACAATTAGCGATTGAATGAACGAAATGAGCAAAATGACGTTAAGAAATGCTGCTAATGAAGAAGTTGAAAAACTATATATTATATGGTGTGGTTATCATATCAAAGTGATATAGGATTTCCTGTTAGTGATTTCATTTTACAAGTGAAAGCTCTGAATTTTTACAGTATTTGAATAAATTTCTATAATTGTCTACACAAAGAGACAATTTTTCTCCTGACTATCCAGTAACACTATAAGAAGATATTATTCCTCGGATGGCGGACCACGAAGAGAGCCTCAATTTTAAGTTAATTTTGTATTTCGCATTATTTTTATTTTCTAAATTTTACACTCTTCCTTCAAAAATTATTTCTTCAATATATGAAACTCCGTCATTTAAAAATGACGCACTTAACAATAAGTTAATATCCTTCTATACGTATATTTTGTAAGTTTGAGTTACAATTGACCTGCTATTTAAGGGTTATTCAATAAAAAGATTTAAAACTAGAACGAATACCTATAATATATAACACAGACGAAATACAATTTTATTGTAAATTATTGCTATCAGAAATATTGATAAATAAATAAAAAACGAAAAAGCTTTGAAACCCCACAGATAATTGAAAAAGTATCGTTTTTGGTACCACAGTATCATAATTGGTGTTGCTAGTTGCTAATTACTTTAAGAAATAGGTATAAGTGATAGCAACTAAATATTAAATATTAAAAATACAAAGTGTTTGTCATTTGTATATTTGCAAATAAATAAAAGTATACGCAAAGATTTTTATTTTTTATTTAAATTTTAATTACAAGACAAGAAACAAATAGCTTCGTTAAACAAAACATAAGTTTTATTATAATAGAACTCTCATTACTAACCAAATCATTTTTGTTAACAAAAATTTATTAACAAAATGATATTTACATATTTTACATGTTCGATGCGGCGCGCATAACTTAAGTATCATAATGTAGGCAAAAACTTCCCAAAATTTCATTAAAATATTTCCAATAGAACCGAAGTTACAGAATTTTGATCGCCGAAAGCCGTTTTGTCCCACTGTGCGGCGTTGGCCAATGGTAATATAGGTAGATCTTTAATTAAATGAAAAAGAAGTATTTTTCGGTTTAACTTTGAAATAATGCAATAAGAGATAGAGAAAAAGTATAATACAATAAATGTAGCATACTCGCATAAAACTAAGCATCAGAATTTAATTATAAATATTTGTCTTAAATCTTTATTTTACAAGGTACTCAATGTGTTAAACAAATTTTTTTTTAATATTTGCATAAATTACTTTGCTATTCGAAAGTTTTTCGAATATCCTATACAGTTTCTAATAACGAAATTGCCTAGTATTCGCACCAAGCCCTTTAATCGATTTCCCCGCAAAAAAATGACGGAAAAAGAGATTAACAGAGCATAGATGAAGCTTTTACTGAATCGAAAAACCGGTTGATCAAGAATTTGCTCAGCCAGTTTCTCTATGATGTACATGTATAGTTTTCTGTTCGTTATACGTTGCAACGGGCTCAAGTGCATATGCGACAAGCTGTACGTTCACGTGCACTTTTGAATGTTAAACAGACCTCGGGATTATGCAGAAGATTTTAATATGCATACCTGATTTCCGTGTATGTGGGCAGGTTACGTGAAAATGTGTACGTGTACTATTATGTACGTACTACCTCCTGTCGCGAGTTCGAAACGTTTATTGACATTCTTAAATGATGTTTTAGGCAAATTGATTTGATAAAATATAAAATGAGATTATCTTCAAAAATTTTGATTCGATCGGCTCGCAAGAAGAGTAACGTATAGAAGACTCCAGATAACTTACAGCTTGCTAACTCTTACCGCAGAGACTTAGTACCCTCTGCACGTATCTTCATCAATCCTAATTACGTGCCCTCAGCACACTGCTTTTCACGCGTGTAATTTGTTTAAGCATTTAATTGTTTCGGTAATATTCCATTATGCTTGTCTTCGCCTCTTGCCTCTGTACCGTCACGCTAGCTATCTTTCCAGCGCAGCATTATACGTTAGTTTTGTGGTGATTGGATATTTTTTATGTTTTCGTTTCCCAGAAATTTCCTCACCTAAATATGTACATACAACTTCAAGTGCGGAAAATTATCGAGAGTCTACTATAAGTTGAAGAAGTTATTTTTTCAGTAATTTGTTTATTATGTACTTTATTGTTTTTTAGTGATTATGCTCTTTTTTTACGTAGTTATGTTAGAGGCCTTTAGCCTTGCCTTTTTAAATTAAAATGTTAGTTAATCCTTTTTCTTAAGGAGTGAAACAGCTCTTCATTTTGAGCTGTGTTATTGTTCTTGTTAAATAGTAGCTAAGCAAATAATAGCATAACTCAAAAATGACACTCTTCCAGATAAAAAGGACCTAATTTCAAAATGTATTTTCCCACGAACTGTCGCGTAGCGATCTCTCTTTCAATAGGCGTTTAGTGGTGGGAGAGGGAAAGTTTCGTCTCCCCGGACGGCTTTAGTTCGGGCCGGGAACCGCTAGGTGGCGGCGAGAGATCGGTGGCAGTGTTCTCGCAAGCGGTCGCCCGGCATGCAGTTCGAATATGTATTGTATTTTTTACGAGAGAGTACGAGCGTTTCGCGCAGCTCGACTGAGCTCAGAAAGTTCCCCCACCAGTAGCGTTACCCCACCATGATTTACTTCCCATTGCATCCGCCATATACACGGTGGACAAAATGTACTAATATAAGAACGGCTTATTATGGGACAGAAGTAGTGAATAATTCACAAACTTCTAATCACCCGATATACCCCCTGTCCAGCATGGCTTACGACAGGCCTGTCCAAGTAGGGGAAATTACTCCTGGAACACATGTTTTTGGTCCCCTTCCAACGCTGCTCCTTCAAGTAAGGTGGGACGGTTCCGACTACCGTCTCTCCGTCTTTCCTACCGTCTTTGGTAGTCGGAACCGTCCCATCTTACTTGTAGGAGCAGCGTTGGAAGGGGACCCAAAACATGTGTTCCAGGAGAGGATTCCCCTACTTGGACAGGCCTGACTTACGACATACAGCCGTACGGCGCTTGCGCGTTACCTTGGTAGCGGAGCGTGGCAGAACCAATCAGAGCCAACATGCACAGACGAAACCAAAATTCGTTCGTCCGATACTAGTACTCTCTCGTGAAAAATACTATAGGAGTTCCGAATTGCGGTATGATAGGTGTCTGGGGCCGAGGGACCACAAAGGTGCCGTTCGGGGCCTTGCAGCCAACCCCAAAGGCGTCATGTGCCAACCCCTCGTCCTCGTGGTGTGGTCCGGGCACCGGCTATTCCGGTGGCAAACGGGGCTCTGGCTATGGCCCTGGTGGGTGTTGTGTGTTGTTAAACCCACTCAGGTCAGTTTGGCAAAGTAAAAGCATCCCAGATCAAAACGCCTTACACGCCGACAAAGAGTCTAGTGTTGGGTCTTCCGCACCCGTACGATGATTGGCTAGCCCATGAGTGGGATTGATTCGACCCGGCGCCACTTGGTTGGGAGGTGGCTGCTGGGGGTAAATTATTATTAGCGCTAAAAGCGCCCTTTAACACCGCCGGTATAAGCAGTAAGCTTGGGAACACCAGAGCGGGTTTTGAATCCCACAAGGCTCATTATTGACAATAACCTGTCTGGGGCAGGGATCGTTTGTTGTCAGCCCCATTGGACAAGTAGATGTCCTCCAAGGAACCATTACTTGCCAAGATTTTAGCTTTTATTTATTATCTATCAACGCGTTGTACCAAAGTTTGGAGCCAAGTCATAATTTTTATGTTGTGCATATATTCGTCCAAATTCGAGGTGT